GATGTTAAGCAATATGTTGCCTGGTTCACTTTTTAAGTCCACTTTTAACATGCCTAATCAAATTCCCTATTTGCAAGCTAATACAGTTGGCAACGTGGGAAGCATTATGAACAAAGAAAAAATGTAACAATGCTTATGGCTAATATTTAGCCATCGTGGGTGACAGTTTAAGGACCAATAATCTGCAGTTATTCAAAGCCAGCATCATCTGGAAGGTACAGATGGTGCCGATCTGTTGCTGGTGTCCATTTTTTTATAAGCATGGTTAAAACTACATAAAATATTTTATGAATAGAAAGCATGAGAACAGGCCAGTAATCAAACTGGAACAGAATGTGCTGTAAGAAAGTGCTACATAATAAATGCAATGTGATATGTTATCTTACTGACCGCATATTGAAAGAAAAATGTTATCTGTTGTTGCAACAACAGCCTGTTCTTAACATTGTTCTGCAATGTTGTGATTTTACCGTTATCTGACATATCTTCTGCATGCCCTGTTCTTATCATTCATAACCAGGGGATGGAATTCTTCTAGAACACAGCAAACCCAAATCTAAGAATGATCATGTCTAAAGCTAGCAGCCAATAATGAGTTGTTTCCCAAAAATATATTTAGTCTCTTGGGTAGGAACCTCTTAATTTTATGAGATATACTTTGTACATTTGTACATAAAAAAAGTGGGCAGTGGTGGCCTAGTGGTTAGGGAAGTGGTTCAAATCCCTGACCAGTGAGGTACTCTGAGCAAGGTAGCGCCCCCAAGCACTGCTCTCTGGGTGCTGAATTAGCTGCCCCCTGCTATGTCACGACGTCACATATGGGTTAAATGCAGAGAACACATTTTGCTGTGGTGTGTCAACAATGACCACTGATTACTAAATTCTAAAAAAATCTTTATATTTTGACTGCAGTATTTTCTGTACTGCACCAATGGGACATTATACACTCACACACACACACACATTATGAGAATATACACTAGGACTTGTTAAAAAAATATATAACAGTTCAGGAATAATTTTCTTAAACACAAACGTACTTCTATAAAAAAATCAGGTGGACTTTAACGAGATACACACATTTCTTGACCAAGCTCAAAGTATATAATGATTTTTAAAATGACTATGGTACTATTTTAATTCTGCTGGTAATTCTGATTCACCAGTCTTTGCTTAATTGTTAGAATAGTATCTAACCTGTGGACACACATATCTTATTAACAATTTCCGATCTAAATAGCAGTGCATGTGAAAATAATGGACCTTTTTGAATAAGCAACTGCAGCTTCATTGGAAGACATCTTCAGTCTGTGATATTTTACATAATTCCTAGACATTACAAACTCTTTCCATGTTTCAGTCCACATTGTGTCCTTCCCTGGAAAAGATGCAAGCCTCCAGTGGAAACAGTAGTAGGTTTTGCATAGTGATATCCCCTAAAATATACAGAGCGATTTACTGAGAAGCAGAATTGTTGGACTGCATCTCGTGTGAAATTTTTAAGCATATTTCAGCCTGACAGCATTTTAAAAAATCTAAGAAAATAGCAGCACTCCAGGCCATCTGGCACATGAACCTTGAACAGTCATCTGTCAACAGCGTTTCTATGGTAGCACAGCAATACACGAACTAAGCCTGACCTCAGTGAGGTAAAACAAAATACAAAGATTCTCGTATACTGTGTTACTGTGCTGGATTATTCAATACGGGTTTGCATCATTATGGTATTACTGCAATGAAAGGCATTGATTGTAGCTCGTATTCTATACTGTGTTAAAAAAATTAAGTGGAATACCCAAGACTGGAAGATAATGCCCAATCCATATCTGAATTAAAATCCAGCAAATCTAGTAACTTTACAGTACTTTATAAACCGCAGATTCAGTATGTAACCATCCATTACAGAATGGCAGAATGCTAGCACCTTAACAGGATGAGTGTAATATGAAAATAAATCATTAAAGCCTTTTGAAAATCTCTAAACATGGCAAAAACTATGAAAATGGGTTGAACCAATAAATAAAGATCCAAGAGTTTCCACATATCATCATGTGTTCCGTGTTCAAATGGTATTTTAAATAGGGGATTCAAAGTTAATTTAGCAAGAGTGACACCATGTGGCAAAGCTACGACTATTCATCTAATCTGTATGCAGTCACAAAACGCATGTTCCTATTTACTACCTTGTAAATGTGCATGTAGCCACGCTTCCTGACAGAATTATACAGTAACATGCACGATAAGACTGCATATCAATGAAACAACTTTTGTTTGAAACTGACAAAAAGAAAAACAGGTAGAAACAAAATCAATATAAGTTCTGAATACAAATATAGAATGAGGACACATAAATGGGTTGATGCATAATGACACAAAGAGGTGATTGAGATAGTGATCATAATAGCTGCAGAGAAACCCCTGCAGCGTCTCCCGCATTATGTATTCAATACTGCCCACCCCCCCCATGATAAGCACATGTAAGATGACGGCCAGAAATGGAGAAGGCTTAGAGAAAAGGCGACTGCCTTTCAATATGTAGCACATCTACTGCATCGTTGGAAAATGCAAAAAGAAGGTCTGTATCAACTTCCTAAAGTTTTAGGAATTTAATCAGCCTGTCAAAAAAAACATGTGTTACCAGATGACTTTTTAGGGAGTATGAAAAAATTTCAAATGAAAAATGAACTACCTGACAAACACTGGTAGGAGCTATAAACACCTAAACTCTCGTTTTCTCAATAATGTTTGTTAGAATCACAGACGTCACTCAGGATTGAGGACAAAGTCCCTCTGTCTCTCCACACTCAGTGGGACAAGCTTTTAGATAACAGAATATGGTACCTGTCCAATGCTGATTCTTTCATAATAGGAAAAATGCGTCCTACGGGTTTCCTACAATGAGAGCATTTACTTTCTCTGCAGTGGGAGAAAAAGTTAGATTTTATAGAAATATTTTTTTTCCCATATAAAATCTATTTTATAGCCAGTTGTTTTACTGACAAAACATTAGTAGTATTATTTGCTCAAAGTTTCATTTCTCAAACTCAACTTTTCACAGTTTTCATGCCACATTCGCATGTATTACAAGGTAACCCTGAACTGACCTGCATGAGTGGATGGGCTTCCAATTAAGGCTGCAGCCTGCGTTATTTCCTAGGCATCCAGGGCCTGGTTTAAATATTAGAGCCATTTCATATCATGGTAAAAATGTAAGCATTTTATCATGTATTTCACATACTGTGCACCTTCCACATAATCAAACTTTGAGTAAGCTTCAAAATAACCCTAATTTATTATCATTATAGTAATTTACATAGTATATTACACACACACACTATATATATATATATATATATATATATATATATGTGTGTGTGTCTCAATGAACATTAAGATGTATGATGAAACACATCTGTATAAAAATGCCCTGTAGCCTTACATTGTATGTCATTAATGTTCATTAAGAGAAGGACTTAATGTACTTTATCTGTTAGCAGTTCAATATTGTCAAGGTATCTGTTTTTTTCTGCGAAGACCACAACTAGCTCATCAAATCAGTGTCCTGCAGTCTTCTGCTTAGATTGTCTCTTGCACTTGTTGCCAACAATTAATTGGAAATGCAGTCTATCTGCAATTATGCCTAGCGTGCTGGTGATGTACTCTCTGCATTGCATATATATTGCTTTGGACAAAAAGTCTAGTAAATAAATACAATTATAAATGATATAAACTCATTCTGTTCCTGTAGGAGAGGTTCAGGACGTGCTACTCATGCCTGAATTGGATGCGTAATGTGCTTCAGTAACTGCCCAACTGTAAACAAGCTACCAATGGTTTTTGAAAACATTGGATGTGGAGTTCTGGTAAAGACTGCGGACAGGTAACCAGAGGTCTGTCAGTTTGGGTATAAGGACTGGTCCTTGACTCTGTACCTAAGATCATGTCTTTCGGAGTAGAGGAACAGATTCAGGAGAAAGAGGTAATAGCACAAACACAACTGTAGGAGGTGATGATAGCGGTCCTGTTCAGTGGAAATGGATGGAGTCATGTTTACAAGCACACTTAACTCAGAATTTCATCATTCCCTATAAAAAAGAGGATGAATTCTGTGAGCTAAGCAACCACTGCACGCATCCTTGCATTTAATCATCATTTTTAGCTGTACCAGACACAGTCTGGCATTTACTGTAACACATTACCCTTGTGTTATTCCTCTGGCTTAGTCTGACTCCTTTTGATCACTTAACATTGTACTTCATTATATTTGGTTAGGTAGAAGCCAGACCACTTAAGCATGAAATTACCCAGTCATCTGTTGATTTTTCTTTTCAGACTCATACTCAGGAGTGTCTGGTCCTGAACTCAGACATGTGGTCTGTGAAGGTACCCAGGGAGAAAGTCCAACATGTTCAGTCTGACCTTATTAACTCTTACTGAGTTATTCAGTTATTTATAATAAATTTTCATTACAAGAGAAATACACTTTTTAATTATTCCCACAAAAATCAATGGAGGAGCGCTTTGCAAAAATTTTATGCCTAAATTATTATGTACCGTATCATATAATACTTAAAATAACAAAAGGTAAAAGTGTTTCTTGTAAAACGACCTCGTGTACGGACAGCGCCCCCTTCTGACGCAGAGTGTCATATAGCAGGTGTTTCAGTATCGTACCCGGCCGATGTGATCTGAAACGTCCTTCTGCATCGATCCTGAGAGCGTGCTTATAGTCAGATTCCGAGGTCAGACTGACAGGAAATGAGTCCCGTCCCGATTCTCTGCATTCTACATTATTGAGGAGAATTAGAGCAAGATGGTATGAAGTTTCATGAATACTCAGTGCAGTTCCCATTTGATGACCATCACACTATAATTGTCTCCATATCTATATTCCAGAATAAATTCAGAGAAAAATTTGCCCGATTTTATAATAGAGCAGCTACAGCGAAGCCCTTTAAATCTTTATAGTAATGCTAAATTTGATTAAAAAGAAACACCTCTTAAGAATAAAAAATGTTTATTTAAATTCAATACATTTCATATTTACAGTATCTATATTTTACTTCCATCACATTTATATAGTTAGACTCAAATGAAATCCATTAAGAATTTTAAAACCGATTATTGCAGTTTCTAGTTCTGGCATTTGAATTATAAGTGTCATTTTACGTACTTAACAATCTCAGTCACATATATGTATGTATGTATGGAGGAACTGTCATGACTAAATGGTACTTGGGCAAATTCAATCTCAAAGAGATTGTATAATTTATTGAAGGTACAGTCATGTAAGTGAAAATAATATAAATATTCAACCGTATGTATCAAAATATACATAGGAACATTGTCTTCTAGCTTTCGAAATAGTGACTACTGCAGCACCATGACAACAGCGGCCACTGGTTGGCACCTCGAAAACAAAGCAGAAGAACATGTGATTTATTAACATATAAATAAAGTAAGCACGGAACTATATGACCAAATTCATAGAAGTACTCTTACAACAGAACGTTTCTTGATGTAACCAGTACATTCAACGAGAAGGAAAACCTTAAATACAAGTACCTTTCGTATAGCTGAAGGCAAAACATCAAGGAGGTAGAGCACCATCTGATAAGATGTACATGTCCAGAATGGACAACGTAAAAAAATAATTACATATCAAAAACGTTTGAGAATGCAATAAAATATTGACAATGAATCCATAAGCTATTGCACTTAGAGGAGTTTTGTGTGGAGAGTACTCATGAGCTAGAGAGATTAATCCTCTCTGGGATGTTAAGACCAGCTAGGCAGTAGAACACTAGCTTCTCCATGTGTTTGGGGTGTTATTTATTGAATAGTGATCTGTTTGTCTTTCAAAACTATACTGGTACACAATGTTGTCCTGTACTTCTTTGATCTGGCCTTATGCTCCTAAAGACAGTAGTCCGTTACTGTCCTGCTGGGGTACTGCTCATGGAAATCCATTCCATGAGGGTCCAATCAGTGGAAACCACCTTTTTTAAAGATGACCTCTTCAAGGACTGACGCACTGACGGTTTCTAGCAGGTATGGAGAGAGGTTCACAAAAAGCAGACAGGTCCCACCTCAAGGTCCTGCCGCCGGTGGTAGCCCTGCTGGGCGGCGGGAAACACCTGAAAGTTCACAACAGGGAGCTTCTGGCTGTCCTGAGTTCGGAAGAAGAAGTGTGACTGGTGCCAGCTGCCATCTTGAATCTGGGAAGAGAGGATGCAATGGTAAAAAAGTCTGAGGGGTGAAATTTGAAACCTTACAGTGGGAAGGTCACCCATCAAAGGGGTCTTGGATGTCAGTAGCTCTTAAAAAAATTCCAAATAAGGTCCAAGCAGACATGATTACTACCTTGCACCCATCTAGAAGCACATGTGGTTCAAGTAATGTGTAATCCTCAAGCATTTGTCCGTTCCACCCCACAAAGCTCACAGACTTCTTCAGCCAGTCAGAATTTGTGGTTTTCGACGCTGCTGTGCTAAGACAGCGAACTGCAATGGTCTGCGTAGCCTCCGTGCTCAACAAGTGAAGAAATTTCATCTGGACTTTTTTAATGCCAAACTCCATCTGTGGTTGAGGGGGCAATAGGAGGATAAGAAGTTAGAGAAGCTTTTTTCACACAAACATCTGCAGATATTTCCAGGTGACCCACGGGGACACCCCGTCAGGCAACACTTTTGAGAGAAGAATTCAGACTTTCAGTGCAAGAACTTTTGGAATTAGTTTTAGGGGGGGGGGGATACTTGGTGATTAAAAGTTTCCATCTTGAATACCTTCTTTATGCAATATGGAGCCATGACCTGAAATATTTTATATAACATGTGGCTACATGAACAAAAGTACACACATATTGGGTAAAAATGCTTCAAACCTCACAGCAAAAACAATGTTTAAAAGCTGCAGTAGCATAAAAACATATACTGTGGAACAAAACACTCTAATCCATTTGTACATAATATTAATACATACTATTTTGATCATAATCTCAGCAAAATATCAATGAAACCCAAACATAATGTAATCACTCATCGCCACTTAAACATCTTACATATTGTCAAAATATCTTAAAGGAAAAAAATAGATTCATTTTTTACTTAACATAATGCACACAACAACTGAAGTGCCTGAAATAAATTGGTAACCTATAAAATAAATAATAATAGGATAAAGAATGATATTTAAATTTTTCTTAATATTAGTTTAATATTAGGGTGCATAAAGTTTAGCTAAGTCTTTTATCACAATTTCACAAATATTATTGCATGGCACAATAAAAGCCATATTCCAAACCCACCCAAAGAGAGTTACAATCACTGCATGTGAAGCTGATGGCTGAGGATTCCTGTCTGAATGCATTCCCACGTTTTGTGGTGGGGTCACATTACCTTATGCATAGCAAGTGGGTGGATGCATGTTTGGCCACCTGCAGTAAAATTGCAGAAGACCTTAATAGCATCTGATGGACATCCAAGGTTGGGATCTATCCAGAACCATCCTAAAAATATACAAATACATGCATCACAAACACAGGCTCCTTTCAGGGCATTCTGTTTTTCAATGAGGTGACAATGTCAAGGAACATCAATGCAAATGGAGAAAAGCGAGGAGGAAATCAGTGCCCTCACCATCCGACAGCCGCTGGTGGCAGTCTAGCAGGTCCTTGCAGAGCCTCGCGGGGTTGGATTGGGTACCCAGGGGTCTCTTAATGCTCTCAATCACACTACTCAGGTACTGCAAAGTCTTAAGGATCTCAGCACTGAGGTCGGACACAGACACCTCTGTGTTCTGGTAGCTCTGGTGTATGGGAATTAGCAGAAATTAACAGAAAATTTCCAGAATTTTGCAATCATAGTTACAGTTAGTTTAATTTGGCCTGAGAACAGAACTATTTACCTCCATACGCAGAGCAGAGGTGGTTTCAATCAAGGCTTGTACAGCTGCATTAAGACTTACATGTGTCTGGAGGAAGATACACCACAAAAAAATGTAATAAAAAATATTTATCAGTGATAATCACAGAACATAGTTCCTTTTGTTGTATCCTGGTTCACAGTTTGGATAACTGTGCAGCAACAACAAACTGATAAGAACTGCCTCTGGGGTTTGTTGCTAAAAAATGCCCCCTTTTCCTTCACAGAAATATGAAATCCGAATCTGGGCTTAATGGGACACTAACCCCTAATAAAGGCAAAACATTCCGCAAAGCTTTCCACTTTCCAACTCAGCCTGAACGTCAGATAAGACCAGCATGCTCACACTTGCCACCCCCAAAGCGTTATTCCTAGAATCAGTCGCATCTTGCCCCCATGATGAACTTGGAGCATTTAGTAAACATCAGTCCAGTGGCCTCTGGGAAATCTCACACAAAAATGCCACCACTGGGCATCAACTTCACTCAGCTCGTAATAAACGTTTCATTGTCAGTTCTTACCGTCCGACCTGGAGCACCTGGAGCACCCTGAAAAAATAAGGTGAAGCACTAAGGCAGGTAACACGAGAATCAGAGCCATTCTTTGCCTATAACACAGTGTTGCGCAGCAAGGAAATATATTACAGTACGGTTACTTTGTTTTAGAAACAACTGCTGGAGAGCAAACTACCTAAAAAAGCTGAGAAGGGATTGGATGAACACTCACCTGTGGGCCTGGGCTACCCTGTGGCCCCTGGGGTCCCTGAAGGACATACAAACAAATTATACTGACAGTGGTCTGTTACAATAAATCCACCAAATGTAGGATGGTAGATCTATTATTCTATGGATAAAGATGAAATCTAAAGCCACAGCTTAATCTGGATTGATCGGGATATTTGAAGCATCGGATACAGAGGAGCCCCACTGTTGGATTTCTAATCAATTAGATGACATTTCACACATCAGAGTCTGCTACACGAGTATAACACTTGTCCACCATAACAATTGTTTTTTGCATCTATTGAAAGTTACTTGTGAAAGAAATCACATGATGGGTGTTTATCAATATGTGTACTTGATCGTTCTTGTGTTCTTGCATACTTCATCTCCAATTGATGAAATACAATTGCAATACTCAGGAATGGAAGTATGGAAGATGGTAAAAATCCTTGGATGTTGTTCTTGCCCAGCCCCCAATCAAGGATACATATCAAGGTTGCATGCTTGGTAAAGAAAACAATCCCATGATTCATTGCATCCCAAGTTCGTTCTTGGGAGGCAAGTTGGCATGACCTGACTCTCGCAGAAAACAAGTATGATCTTTGCGTTCTTGGTATTGAGAAACACCCAATATGTTATACAGACTAAAATCGATAATAGGTCTTAAAATGCACAGATTCATACCATATCCCCCGGGCTTCCTTTGGGCCCTCGGTGCCCCTGTAAATGAATACAGATCATTTCTCTGGAGATTCCCTCAACTGTTTCTAGTATATATACTTCCTTCAGTACCAAAACTGCACATTGAAAGCGGACTTGGCCTCATCCCCTTTTCTCCATGGATAAATACACTTGCCATGTACCCCCCACTGAGAAAATGAAGGCGATAGCATTAAAACATTTAATTATTGAGCTTGTGCATAAATTATTTCCTATTGCCATGTTGTGCTTAAATGAGAATGTAAATGCTGTGAGATGCTCAAACGAAAATATTCGGCATAACAAGATATATTCTTTCAAGAATGAATGAATATCACCATAAAAAAATGATTTGAAAATCTTTGTATTGAGTGTAGGTAGCAACATGCAATAGGTGATGAAAGGTCTGCATTTTTAATATAGCATGTGGTTTTTATGTTAATAATTAGATAAGAAGAGAACATACAGGCTTTCCCACAGGTCCAATCATGCCAATTGGGCCAGCTGGTCCAGTGATTCCCTGCAGAGAAATGGGAATTTACACAGAACGTGCAGAGACATCCGGAAAAACCAGCATGAAGAGCCTTTATTTCAATGGGCTTACCACAATTCCAGCAGGACCTTTGGATCCTGGAATGCCTTTGAAACCCAGATCTCCACTGGGACCCTGCATTAAAAAAAAGACAAATCTTAACCTTTCTTCCACACCAAAGCATTTACTATCAGCTCTCCAAAACATGCCACCTGAATAAACTTGTACAAACCTTTGGGCCAGGAAATCCTTGAAACCCTCGCATTCCTTGCTCCCCTGGTCCCCCCTGGAGAAGAATTAAATGAAATTAAGACAACACTGAATGAAGAAGGCAACACTTTTACTATTTAATACAATTTCTTAAATAGCTTCAGCAACCGATTTTACGAAGGAGTAGAGAGCATTTAAAAAAACCTGTTCCTGACAAAGTCGGAATAGTTATAGTCATCAAAATTACCTTTTTCCATCTTTCTAAGGAACTTAAAGCCTAGGCTAAATTTGGGAGTTTGTTTTTATCGAAAATATAAAACACTTAATCACAATACAAATAACGTTATGACGTGGTGTCCTTGCCAAACAGAATTCCTTCCACTCGACCCAGATAAGTTGAAACTAATTCTCTGTGGGAAACTGAATAGACACGCAGATGTGAGCAGACCGGCAGCCCGAACCAGCTCTTCATCTCCTGTTAGATCTTTCACAGAAATGAGACGACAGGACGCCAAAGCATGGGGACATATTTTCAGTTGATAACGTGAATTTGTGTACTTATATCAATGAAACAGAGGACAGTGAGGTTAGACAATCAGCTGTATTTGTGGAGAGGACGTTTCCCAAAGGTACCTACCGGCTGTCCTTTCATGCCAGCTTCTCCTTTCTTGCCCTGGTCCGGCTGCATGCCCTCCAGTCCTTTACGCCCTGGGGGTCCCGTTTCCCCTACCAGCCCAGGTTCCCCCTGGCAAAATGCACAGCAGACATCAAGTACCCTGACACATAATGTGCAGAAGAATAACTGGGGTTCTTGATTATGAGTTGAGCAAATATTAGCAGCAATACGCCTAGTGGTCACATGTACCTTCTGCCCTGGGGGTCCCTTCTCGCCAGGCATGCCAGGAAGTCCGAGTTCACCTCGAGGACCCGGAAGCCCTGCCTTCCCCTCCATGCCTGCAGCACCACGATGACCCTATAAAGGACCAAAATGCAGGAGGAGAAGTGCAGGCTGGTTACTAAGCCTGTAGAGTCCGATAAACCCAGATCCGGTTCAGAGAAGCAACAGCTAAGGCACACATTTCATTTTTTAGCAAGATGGGACAGACACACATTTGCTTAAAATTCCTGCCATTCATCCTAATGCTATTATATAACAAAAAAAAATGCCAACTATTGTAATTCCAGTTATATGGCACAGACTGTGTTTCACAATGCATGAAAAGTTAGTATCATTGCTTGAGTGGTGAAAAAAAATATCTAAAAGGAAATCAAAAATACATTTAATATATGCATATATGTAATATGGCTAAACTAAGAAAAAAAATCTAAACTTTACAATTGAATCTCTGCTTTCCATATCAGATACAATAGGAATATTCATGAGGTTAATGATACGTTACTACATTGGTGAGCATTTTTTTTATTCTTCACTATAAAGCATGGTTAACTAGTATAGAACTTAGCGATGCCTCTTTCCATTTCAGGTTTGTTTTCAGCTGGTTCAAGAGCTGGCGGGAGAGTTTTGCAGTCATTAAAATTCAGACAGTTTAACTGCAAAAAACAGGCTACATAGAACTAATGCATGATCTGCCTTTTTTGCTGGGTTCTAATAAACAAAGCAGCAGGAAGTAGAGCTGAAGACACCAGTGAAATTCCAGAAAAGTATAAGAAAAAAACCAAAATCAGTTAGCAGAAGCAACTGTAGGTAGGGGAGCTCAGGGATTTAGCAGTAGCTAATGAGAAGACCACACCTTCCTGTCGCTAACGGTGTAAACAGACACTGTGATCGAACAGAGGAAATTAGGGGCAGCCTGGGGGAATCTGTTTTGGGGAATGATTTAAAGGCTACTGAATTGACAAGAGTGGGAACAATGACAGGGCTAATGTAGACAGGGAAAGAGTAGTCACTGCACATACTGCCTAAGCAGGCTATTCTATGATTCAGAATCAGAAACAGTTTTATCATTTGTATGTATGAGGAATTTGGCATGGAATGTCATAAGAATTTGAAACTAACAACACTAAACAAACATATGGTAACGAAGAGCGAAATTCAACAATAAGAGCATAATAGTAAGTGGAATGACAGCTGGAAGCTGAGCATACGAGCTATTGAAAAAGGACAAATCAACAGCACAATAAAAACGAAAATGATATAGCACAACCAACCGTAAGTGTAAATATACATTAATACGTTAATATACCTTTGCTGTAGAACTTCAACTTTTTATAAATGCCCCATTTAAAGATTGTTTCGCACTAAGTACATTCATAAGTGGCTCTCTGGTGGAAATTCAGCCAGAAGAATCATATTCTGTCTGGAAGAACAGGCCCTGGCTCAGCTCATCCTTCATCTCTCCTGCTGGGCAATTTATTCGGAGAGGTCTTTCTGGCTGCAGTAACAGCACGGTAAACCTGCATGGTTAACCTGTAGGTATCCCATTATGCCTGGCCAATCAGCAACATAATAGTATGCCCATAGGACAACACTTTATTCCTATTACGACCAAATGACATATGAAGTACTCTGCATCATTGCACCATCATTAAACAATCACACACATTCGTTTACAAAGGCCTAGATTCTAAATCATTTTTATTTATTTGTTTCACAATGAAATACTGATATATCGCAGCTGTTTGGCATAGTGCTTGAGACCAGTTGCTTAACAAATTTTCAATTAGTGACTTAGGCGGCTGGTAATTTGCTCTACTAAAAGCACAGGACAGGGACTGATTTCCCAGATATATACCTTACGTCCGGGTTTTCCAGGTAGTCCTAGATGACCAGGAAGTCCAGGAGGGCCATCCATCCCGGGATAGCCCTCCATCCCTCTCGATCCAGGTAAACCCAGGGGCCCCTAGAAATCAACACAGCCACAGAGTTCCGCTGCTATTGTCATTTGACTAACATTATTTTTTCCCTTGCAATTCTACTCCGTGCAAAGCATCTGGAAAAATGAAGAAATTCCACGTTGTCATTGATAAACTACATTTTGAAATGAAGTACAATATAAAAGCAAGAACATTTACAGATAACATACATTATGCAGCGAAGCAGCCAGGCACTACTGCAACTGCTCTTCCCATTATGCGTCACATGACTGCCATTGGCCATTGGTTCACTACTGACATCAGCCTTAGTGCCATTCCAGAACTCAACAGTACAAAACATAAATCAAGGAGGTCTTAGCGATACTCACTTCATCGCCATGTTTACCTGCTGGACCCTTCACTCCCCTCTTCCCAGTCAGTCCCTGAAAAACACAGGCATGAACATAATACACAAGTTACAAATGGACTAGTAAAACTGAGCAATAAAGAGCCACAGTACTGGAACCAGGTTGTACAATGTCCTGTGACTATGGCCTTAATGCTAACCTAATACGCATTTTTATTGGCCATGCACTCGTTCCTTTTCCTTTCCAGTGCTCAGGGGAAGGACATTTCTGTAGCATGACAGGTTGATTCGGCCAAAATTGACCCCACACATCCATCTAAACTCTCAGATACTGCAACCGCAGACTAAGCTCTGTAGCTTGGTTTGGCATCGCAATCTGAGCTTCTACTCTTCAGTTTTTCCTGCCATATATAGTTTCAATACACTGAATTCCTGCGGTATTTGTATTATATGGCAGTTAGTTGGTGCCGAGGCTTACAGTGAATTTCTGTAGTTTAATACCTTCTTAATTGTCATGATGTTTTGCAGAGGATGTTGGGGGAAAAAGCAGGTAAATGCAATGAACCTGGCCATCAGAATAGGACATGCTGGTCTTCTTTTTGAAGACAAAATGTACCTAGTAAAATGTTATCGGTACCGCACATGTACACACATCACATAAAATGCAATCAAATATTTACCAAAAACATGTATGTTTCAATTGTTTAAATATCAAAAATTCAATGGTAATGTAATATTTACTCATTCGTTAAAGTAGAAATGCACTATGTACAATTAATGAGGTTAATAATCTTTTTCGTGGTGGGATTAACCGATTTAACCATATTTACTTGTAGTAGTATAATAAGGATCAGTCATGTTCGAGTGTTCATTGTGTGAATAGTAAAAAAAGAAAATCCCCATAAAATCACGCAGTTATTCATAGTGTGGGTGGCCAAGACGGCTGCATTCTTTTTTATATGTAGGAGAAACAAATTTACTCTAACTGATTATTGGGTAATTTCAAAACTATTTTTGCAACATTTCTACAGCTCAAAGGGTCTCAAAACACATATATCAAAAAGCATTAAAAGCCCAGCCTAATACGCAGACCTTTAGTGTAGTTCAGCTGAATAAACAGACGCGCATATTTTGACAGATTAATATACGTATTCTGTTTTAAGGAGGGCTTCTACTATCTTAAAACACTTGGCAACACATATAGTAGACAAGCAGGTAACTGAATTCAATAAAAAAATATCTAGCATTATCTGCTAGAAAAAGACAGATGTCTGCTGAGGAATTTAGCAAGACTTGGTGCCAAGACTGATACACACATACACGCATGCACACGCACACACACACACACACACACACACACACAGACACACACACAGTACCAGTCATTTGTTTGGACACGTCAAGCCACCTACAAAGGCATGATAATGTCACATGACATGGCCACCTGACCTAAACCCAGCAGAAATGCTTTTGGAGGAGTTTGACCAGAGAGTGAAGGAAAAGCAGCTAATGAGTGCTAAGCATATATGTGGGACCTCCTTCAGGACAGCTGGAAGAGCATCCCAGGAGACTACCTCATGGAACTGGTGTAGAGGAGACAGTAAAGTCAGCCAGACCCTGGAGCAACTGGGGTAATGGCCTTGTTCAAATAATTTGAACCAGCAACCTTCTGAGTCCCATATATATGGGGATATGTTTGTACACCTGTTTGCCCTGACTGGCACTGTACACATTATATACGGGTATAAGTTTGCACACCTGTTTGCCCTGACTGGCACTGTACACATTATATACGGGTATAAATTTGCACACCTGTTTGCCCTGACGGGCACTGTACACATTATATACGGGTATAAGTCTGCACACCTGTTTGCCCTGACTGGCACTGTACACATTATATACGGGTATAAGTTTGCACACCTGTTTGCCCTGACTGGCACTGTATACATATTATATACGGGTATAAGTTTGCACACCTGTTTGCCCTTCTCTCCATTGGGTCCTTGCTCTCCAGGTTCCCCAGGCTTACCCTGCACAACAGGTGACAATCACAACACAGCTGAACAGCTGCTGCAGAATCTTGGACAGAGACTCCTAGCTTTGCAGCATGTTTCCCAATATATCAATGCAGACCAAGTGGTTTTCTGGGAAATCATGTGTGAAATGCAATATTGTCATATACCAAGACATCAGTTTAAGTATCGGGGATCTCTGAAACTTACTGGTGGCCCTTGCTGTCCAATAGCACCTCTAGGTCCAGTAATGCCAATGTGACCCTGAAATTAATATGCGTGAAACCATTCAATGGGTGATGACAGATAGAAGTCACTAATGATCCAAACAGATGTGTATTTGAACAAACAATATCAATGAGATTTAAGTAAAATCAGTTCCAACTTTCCCCAGACTCAATACTGGTATATAAAACTTGTCCTTGAAGATGTTCTGTTTCTATTCAGTCTCTAATTAGCTGAAATATTTTGCATTACAATATGTGCTTATGGTCCTTGATTTATAGTACTTCAATTCCATAACATGAACATTTTACTGCTGCTAGAATAACAGAGTCCTGATCTGTGTCTCAGGTGGTATGTATGACTCAAATTGGCAAATCATGCAATGCTGATATGCCAAAAATAAAAACAAATTCACGGCCTTTACTAAAGTGTAGCAGTAGTCGACTACGTTCTCCTTCCCACGCATTTCGAGTTTTAGAAGCCAGAGTCCGTGTGTGGTGTGTGGTCCCTATTCGCTGGCAGATGGGGAACAGAGCATGAAAGATAAGTAATCTTACCTGATATCCCAGCTCCCCTGGCTCCCCCCGCTCCCCTCGCTTGCCGGCAGGACCCTGCCCAAACACCAACGACATTGCGATATATAAACAGCTGCCTTTGCCAGCCTAAGCAACGCACTGGTGGGAAAATCCCACTTGCCAATCAGTGTCCTCCTGTAAGCATTTCATTTAATCCCACTCAATCTACCGTGTCGTCACGAGAGAAAAACCACAGTGAGGCACGCCTGGGGCGAGAGAGGAAGTGACAGTGCGCTTCACAGTAAAAGACAGACAAAACAACCCTTAGCATTAATACCCTTTATCAATGATTTAAACATTATGTTAGAATCCCTTAAACTAGTCAACAGCTCATTATATATGCCTGTAAAGTAAAATAAAGGCTCCAGAAGGTTTGAACTGCGTTTATCGTTATAACTCACACGACCTCAATAATAATGGCTCAAGAAAAGGCCTCCAGCATATTGAAGTATGTAAATGACTAATACAGACTTGCCGTTTATGAATGCAGCATTACTGAAACACAGTCTCTCTGGGTTAGGGATGGGAAGTTAAAAGAAAACATAACCTACTGGTTCACCTATGGATCCCGGTGGTCCTGGAGATTTGTTATCCTCTCCTGGGTAGCCCTGAAAACATACCAAAGTTTGTTACCATTTCACATTTCATTCAGGACTGTTACATGAGACGCGGCAGAATTGCTACTGCTCTCGGCCGGAATCACACCCGAACATTACTTCATTCTTCTGAAAAACACAAGAATGAAGTAACTGCAGATGGTTCTCTTGTGTGGTTCCCCGATGGTGGAATGAGCTGCTGAACCACATCCGGTCATCAGATTCCCTCTCTACCTTCAAGAAACGCCTCAATATCCATCTCTTCCATGAATTTCTCTACTACCCTGATGCCGCTTTACATTCCATGAATGTTCTTATGTTGCACTGCTGGACCATGAATAGTCTTATTAGGTTCTTGCTTTGTTAGATGTTGTTTTGTAGCTTCTGCTCCAATCCTGCTTACACTTATAGCTGGGCATTCATTGGAATCTCAATCTAACTGCACTTATGCCTAGTCGACCCCTTTATAGCACCCATGTGTGTACGGGCTATTTGCCTCACTTGTCCGTCGCTTTGGTCAAAAGCGTCTGCTAAATACAGAAATGTAAATTTAAAAACCGCACACAGGATATAGCCAGTATATGCTGGGAAGTCTGTGCTGAGATGCACACACGCAAATCATTGATGGAATCAGATTACCTTTTCACCTTTTGGGCCGGGTGGTCCGATAGGCCCAGGCTTGCCCGGGTGACCCTGGGAATAAGAGGCGTGATTATCAACACATCAGTTGCTGGCACATTCCTCCCCTGCCTTATTTGTTGAGCAGAAGAGAAACTCAGACAGACATTGTTTATGAACATGGCAGAGGAATCCACTATGGGCCCAGCATGCTGCATGTGAACAAGTGCATACTTCACCGTTGACATTTCCCATATTCTGCTTACTTGCCTTTTCTTGTTTCATGTGTATCACTCAAACTAACACAGCCATGCTATTTTTGCTTTGAACAGGGTTACAGACTATGAAAAGGTAATACACCAATTCTAGTGCATCAATAATTGAAGGATGACCCAACGCTGAGTTAATCATGAATATAATAAAACCAGGTGGTGAGAATTTGAAAGATTCAAATGCTGAATGAATATAATTGACACAGATTTACATTTTCAGCCCAAACGTGGTCAAACCATAATATGCCAGCTAAGATTTCAACCAGAACTGCTATTTTACCATAAACCGAAAATGGCAAGCAAATCCACAGCAGGCACTTGTGGTCACCTGAGTGTTGTCTACTAATCACAGAAGAGCACAGTAGAGATACTCCTCTACTTACGAACTCTCAATTTACAAACTTTCAGACATACGAACAAGGACTGTAAGTCCAAATTGTGTTCCTTGGCCTCCTGTTTCCTGTCCGCAACATCAATTTTTTCTTTCTGCGCGCCAGTTCCACCTCGTACGATTTCTGGCCGCTACTCCTGCCGTGCAGCAGCGTAGCGTGCGTACTCCCAGCATCCTAGTTCTTTGTACTTGCGTATGCCCTTAAAATGATGTTGAATAACGACTTATGAACATTTCAAGTTACAGTACGAACGGCTGTTCGGAACGTAACTCATTCGTAAATAGAGGAGTGTCTGTATTTGCTAAGCACTCTACAGTTTTAACAGAATAAAGAGGACAAACTTACAGTATATCCCATAATTCCTGGCAGCCCCTCAGGACCCATTGGTCCCAGTGGGCCCTGATGATAACATAGGAAACAGACTTTAACTGATGGAACAACACGTTTTGAGACAGAAGTACATTCTGAATATTGTGGTTTGAGCTCATACAGAAAAACAAGATCTGGCATCTCCATATGCCTTTCTTTTGAAAAATCTGAGAAAAAAGCTCCTTTGTGGATCTAAAAATTAATGTTAACATTTACATTGGATATTGCTTTTATTTTCCCATACTTTGTAATTCTTCTCTGGCTATCAAGAGGAATAAACATTTTCTAATAATCCAATCAGTTACAAAAATACTGGGAGGCAATTAATTTCATTTGGCCAGCAGAGGTCTGCCATTTGTTGATGCATTAAAGCCAATAACTACAATGTTACAATTGATTAAAAAAACAATACAGCAGAAATGTCGGAATAGCTACTGCATGTGCAGCTCACCGGAGGGCCTCTGGTGCCTCTGGCCCCTTTCGGCCCCTTTTCTCCCATCTTTCCTGCATCACCACGCGGTCCGGTTTCACCAGCCGATCCTGTCAGACCTTTCTCACCCTGGATGAGCAGCACACACTCAATGAACTTATATCACCCGAGTCATATCCTGCACTTTATATTACACATTTAAATTACTCTGGTAACACTTTCCTTTAAGCACTCACGTATAATGCATTATAAATACCTTCATAATGCATTATAATGCATTCATAAAATATTATAAACACAACTATAACCATTTATAAAAAGGCATAACACATAGCCATGTTTATTATGCATTATGAACGCTCTATGAAGCTCTCATCTGTAATGCACTATAGATACCTTTATAATGCATTATAATGCATTCATAAAGTATTATAAACACAACTGTAACTATTAAAAGGCATAACACATTATAGCCATGCTTATTATGCATTATGAATGCTCTAGCTCTTAGATGGTGAGTGTCAAAAACGCACATTGACAGTTTAACAAAGGTATGGGAGAAACTACAAAACAATATTTACCTTTTTTCCATGACGGCCACGATTACCTGGAGGTCCTTGTTTTCCTTCAGGACCCTAATTTATGAAATACTTATGTAAGATATATCAGGCCACACTTAATACATGCGCAGACATGAGAATGCAGCTACAGGAGAACTGAGCTGCTATAAATAAATAAATAACAGCACCAGATCAGTACAGGAGCATCACAGAAGATCATTTTCTTAAACACAGAAACACAGTCAGGAGAAGGAACATGCTGAGGTGGAGGGATGGGAGTGGAAGATATAAAGTCTACCATAAAAGTACTGGGGTGACTGTACAAGGAGACTAAAAGGAACAACGGCATTTTGTCAGACGACCATCGCTCCCGAAGATACTTACCGGAAAGCCACGCTTTCCCGCCTCCCCGGGAAGGCCCGCAGGCCCCGGGTTTCCCTCTTCACCTTTGTCCCCCGGCTCCCCAACATGCCCACGGTCTCCCGGCCTCCCCTTCGGTCCATAAACAGAAAAAGAGCTTTCTTACGCTGAAAACATCCCTCCATTTAGTTACTGTCCCGTGTGGCCCAAAGACAGGAATGGGAAAGTCATTCCTCTGACGTTTGCATATCCACCTTGGGCCCGTCCTTTCCTTGAACTCCATCTTCACCCATGGGACCCAGAAGACCCTACAAAATACAGCCGATTGATGCTACGTGATTTTAAATCCTTTTCATTTGGTTTATTATTTTAAAATCATTCCTTGAATATGTACAAAATACACTGCAAACTACAAATATGGATAGTCAGAAAGAAAAACAAAGACAACTGAGGAAAAAATACGACTGCTGGGGATTTGCAAACAGATACTCTGCAGATGGTCTGACGGGAAATCTTGTACTTCAAAAAATGGGAAAAAATATTTATCCAGCAGAGGTTAAACCACCTGACTGCTACATTCAGCCTGTTCATTGCGAGCAAACTGGCATCTGTAAACAGATGCGGCAGCATTTCTTTAGCACTCACTCTGATTCCTTCCTGCCCCTGCTCCCCTTCATCTCCAGGAAGCCCAATTTCTCCCTGAGGAACAAAAGATGGGGAGCAGACAATCTTAGGACATTTAGTACAAAGAAGAACAAAGGACTTTCATCTGTTTTTTGTTTGCGGTTCAGCGTTCTGAAACTTTTTTCACTTTCATGAGAATCTCAAACAGAGCTTTCAGCGGTGCGACATCCCCAGGCGACCATCTTAAACGAACAAACAATTTTTCGATGTCAAGTATAAAATTCTGTTACTTAAAAAGAAGGGATGCAGACAGACCAAAGAAATGCATTTTGAATTTAAAATCCTAAATAAATCACGACATGGAATTTACAAAATTTAAACATGATGTCTGATGCAGACTTTTATTATATTATACATGTGTATTATTTACATGAACATATTCAATAATGATAATAGCCAATTTGAAGCCAATATAATCCCATCCATCTTCCATACATGCTTATAAAGTGAGCCTGGAACGTGCAAAGTGCACATGGCAAAGGAACCCCATGGACTGGATGCCAGCCCATCACACGCCATAATCAAGATCATTCATAATGAAAAGTTTAAGCAATGACCTACTTTTAATGTGTTTCATTGCTATAAGAACATGCTTTGGGCTATCATGAAGACTAACCTTGGGCCCGGGTTCACCCACTGCACCAGGCTCTCCCTCTGGCCCAATAGGTCCCTGTAGGAAAGGATGAGGGACAGCTTTCAGTGCTCGGAGAAAGAAGGGAACGTCAGGAGGGATTCAGGGGTGTCAGACGATGTACCTCAAGGCCGATTTCGCCCTCCGGTCCTGGGTCCCCTGCTGGTCCTCTGGGTCCCTAGAAAATCAATCAAATCAGAAAAGGCAGCTTCACAAAGAGATCCCCCCCCCCTTTTTATCAAAAAGTAACTTACCCAGCTTACACTATGTGAAAAAGCTTATCACCTTTCTTAGACATGTATAGGCATCACCCCATCTTGGTGAGGCAAGATCTCCTCAGAACCGTGTCCTGTTCAGCTTGTTGAATGTGAGCACACTGCCCAAATGACTCATGGCAGGATCAGGGTTACATAATGTCACCCGGATTATGGTGCATTGTTCTGGAGAAACCCTGTCTGAACCCAAGGCTAGTGCAGTACCCAGTGCAGGTCCACCCCGCATTTTGCTAATGAAAACAAGAACTCAGCCTAGCTACTGTGCACTCATGCCTAGTTGACTTCTAGAGAGTGTTATGTTTGTAATGCTCTGTTTACTTGTGCATCACTTTGGATAAAAGCGAGTGCTAAATAAATAAAAATAAGTGTAATCTTAATGTATACTGAATCATGCAATCACGAAATAGCATGAAATGATTAACTGAAACACATAAATATTTCAACTTCAGGTGTACAACTTTCAAACATGCTTGCAATATATTTTCAGAAAGTTCTAATAAAAACCGCCGTCCATTTTCTCTGATTACTTATCGAGTACACAATCCCTATCCCAGGTAGCAAGGCGGGTATGTTAATGCTACCCCTTACCCAGTCCAAAGCTTAGCCATAAATAACCAAACAAAATACAAGACTTTTGCCGTTTTTTGATTATAATTGCAGAATTTTATAAAACTGATTTTCCCCTTGTACAGACCAACCAAAATTTCAAAACAATTTGACAGGTTTTATCACATTATGGGGACATTTGGTGCCTAATGTGTGCATCTGTGTGGGTCAGATATATATTTTGACGTTGTGGGGACCACTTTTTCGGTCAACAGAAGTTAACCTACACAAAGGGAGCCTATGCAAACTGCAGACAGAGAGAGCCATATGCAGAACATCTGCATTAAATGTAAAATAATTTAATATTTACTAATAGCTAACACAGAAGCAAATTCCCATTTCCCAACCAACATACTTTTTTGTTTCAAGTTAGCAAGTTATATTCATGGTGATCCACAGCCTATCCAAGAAAGTACAGAATGTAAAGTGGGGATTACCACAAAGATAATCCGATAACTTGAAACAAAAAATGATGTTTGTTGGGAATGAGGAATTTCCATTCAAGACCCTCTATCCATACATGCACACAAGCATATAAACACATTGAGAACAACTGATATCCACCAACCCAACTGAACAGCATGCCTTGAGTGAAAACCCTTCGCGAACAATGAAAGTGCAACCAAGCACAACAGAGAAACTGTCATCCCCGAATGAGTGACATGACTGACAAATAGTTTAATAGTTACTACATTTCAAACAACAAATCAGAGTTTGAGGCACGTACAGACTCCCCCGGAGGTCCCCGCTCCCCTGTACTTCCAGGAAACCCCGGCGTGCCCTGCAAAACAAAAATAAAATAAAATAAATAAAATAAAATAAAAACAACCAGTGGAGCTAACTACTAAACAACTAAACAGTTGCATAAAATATATGTTTTTGATGTCTCAATGTTTTTTAACACCATTTTATTTTACAAACTGGACTGATCATACGCTGCATTTTCATAATCATAAACATTCCAGAATTTCAATTCTTGGATTCTTGATTTAGGTATTTTTATATGTTACATGGAGTAAGAAATTAGTTTAATAAAATCCCCAATGGACAGATACGCAAGGTAGTACATACATAAATAAACATGGTTTAGTAATGGAAATGTTATTTACGTCAAAACTGTCCCATCTCCTAATTAACGCCTACATAATTTATAAGGTGGAAGGAATAATGATGTGAAATATTAAGCTGGTCAGATACGTCAACTGTAATGGAAAATACCCTTTGGTACTTCATAATAAAAAAACTGGAAGCATATGCCACAATTTTTAAAACTACTAATTATTAATTACATGTTATGTTACACCCATTTTCGGTTTCCTCAAGTTTGGCTAACTTTTAATAGTTTTTAAATTAAGCCATTTTTAAGCTAGCAAATGAAAACTGCATTATATGTGATCACAAGAGTTCTCCACAATGCTTAAAAATGAATTCCTGCTGTGCATCTGTGATGCCGAAACTTAAATACAGTTGCATCAGATTTTTTATTGAGAGGTTTTTTTGGTTAACCGTCTATGTCAGGGTTCTTCAACTCTGGACCTCGATTCCAAATCCAGGCCGTGTTTTCAGTTCTCCCAGGTAGTTGTTTAATAATTACTGATTCTGATTGGTCAGAGGCTTCACACCTGACTGACAGGTAAAGGAAGGCTGGAAAACCAGCAGTGCTCGGACCTCGAGGACCGTGAGTTGAATAACCCTGGTCTATGTCATTAAAGACACAGTTCACTAGTTCACTAGATGACACTGTGAATGTGAATATTGCCGGGAAAATGGCTCTTTTTTTTTTTTTTAGAGCATATCATTGTGCTGGTTAACATAGAATTAGCAACTTTCTCCTGCCCTGGTATCAGTAAAGGTTCAGAAGTGTCGTTCCGGAGAGGTAAGCATCTTGAATGTAACAACAGCTTCCTCCAAGCTGATAAATATAAAGACCTTACAGGCTGCTTCCAAACACGCCCAAGCCCTCTCGTATACGAGAGCAGGTTTCCATGCCCAAGTCGTATGGAAGAAATCAGTGATCTGCCAGTTACGAACAAACTTGCCTCAACGAAATGCCTCCCCATGAAAATATCAGAATCAGACACCGTGCAAGACAGGCTACTGCCAGTAAGCATGCGTGTGTAATGGAAATCAGAAATAAAAGCACAATGCCCCTCTTCAACGGCACTGTTGGGTGGCACGCCAAAACCAAATTACCCAAGGCAAAAATGGAAAAACCCCTCAAACCGGCACAAAGTCGAGCAGCATTATAGGTCATTCCAGAATGCATTAGAAGCAAATCCACATTTTACTAAGAGTAATGATTAATGATACCCTATTACCTGCAATGAGCCACTGAAAATATTACATACACTCTAATCTGGTCAACAGCTAATGAGGTGTTATAGAGGTTTCCTAACAAACAATACAAATTGCCTGTCAGCGATTTGAATGAAACGGTTCTCCGCCAACACGGCTTTAGATAATTTATACCAGCATAAGTATGACTATTGAGAGTGCGATGTACATAATCCATGGATTTACTGCCTTCTGAATGGGCGTTCCATTGCGTGCCAGAGAGGGCCATGCTACAAAGAAGAAGTGAAGGTTTATACTTACAGAGATGCCCGACAGGCCTCTTTCCCCAGGACTCCCTGCCTTTCCCTGAAAAAGAAGACCATTTTATTGTCATTACTGTTCTGACAGGAGTGGCACTGCACATAAACTATCACACTGGAGCACTTTGGGGTACTGCCTAAGGATACAGATGTACCACAATGTAACATATATCAAAAGTTACTCTCCTCATTATCAGGTATTATTGAAACAGTAAGACTGGGGGGGGGTTTAGATCCTGGAGTGATTTTTTTTTTTTTTCGTTCATAACATACCCAAGTAACTTGATATTACGTGAAGAATGTGAACAGTTGTTGCTCCTTGCAAAAGCATATAAAACGTTCAAAGAATGTTCTGTATCCTCAAAAAAAAAATAAAAAAAATACCCTACTGAGAAATTTGTTTTAATTAAGCCCTAAGCCCCAGACACATATGGGATCATTTCAAGTTATCCTTTTTATATTATACCTGTCAAGATAAAAAAAAGTATTATACTGAATAATTAAATTATTATATTGTATTATATTGATATATAGCTTTGTGTTTATAGTACTAATGCAATGACCTGAGGAATAGGGGGGAGCAATGATGTATCAAATGAGGAGAGTAATTTTAGGCTTCAAAATTCAAAGATTATTGTTATGTGTACAAGTACAGTGTACAGAGTACAATGAAATTCTTACTTTAATGTCCTCTTAGTAGGAAAGACAATTATAAACAGTGCAAAATTACAATAAATACAAATTTCTAAATATAAGTTCTATCTACTCTAACATATTAATTATTAACAGAGTGACCGGAAAGTATAAAATGCAAGTGTAATATGCAATGTGACTCTATTTGCAGTACAAGACAAGCCGTTGGTATACTAGGGGTTTCTACTGAAGAGTAATATATACCACATCACCCCCACCATTTCATTCATTAAAGACATCAGAAGAAATCAAATCTATTACACAGAAGGAGCCAGTTCAGGTTGGCCACTCAACCTTACACATCTTCAAAGAAATAGAGTGTAGACTGGCAGCCCACATCCAGTCATCCAAGACTCCCATTAAATATATTGCTACACATCCCTGATTATCTTTGATGGGAGGGTGCTCACAACCACTGGAAATACCCATCGAAAACATCAAAGTCCCCAACCTGGCATATGCAGCCTCTTACTGTGTTTAATGAAACCTACTTAATTAATTCAAAATGATGTGGGTTCTGTACTTACCCACCCAAGGCCTTTTTCATCATAGCTACATTTTAATGGAAACTAAAATGTAACAATTAAGGGGGGGGGGTGGTAATCAAGCAAAGAGTGGTTACTATACTGTAAGCCAGATTTACAGGATCTGTTCACGGCAGGGTGTGTCTCACTTTTCACCCAAGATAAATCGCATTTCTTGTGAATTTACATTACATTAGATTTACACCGAAATGTTCCACCATATACAGAGCTTGCTTGTCTTCAGAGGCTGGCCATTTCATCTCCTATTAACATGAAAATATGCAGGCTTTGTGCATGTATTCTAGTCTGCTAGCACAACCATGCAGACAAAAGATGTCTTCTGATGGTCAACCATTTAGAAATCTCAAAACTATCACACATACTGAGACTTAGTATTCACACTGGACATGCAAAATTTCGTGATAGTGCTCCTCATCATGTTAAACAGCTGTTTTCAAAGATGTTATAGTCATGAATAGAACATTACAGCATGAAATTCTGTCACAGATTTCTTTGTATATATGGATGTATATAAATAGAGGAAGCTGAAGAGTATACTTACGATGAAGCCAGGATCGCCCTTCCTTCCTGCGACTCCGCGTTCTCCCTATGAGAAGCACATACACTAAAAACATCAGCCCTCAGTTCTCTACGCAATAGTCAGTACTCAACTGAACATTTCAATAGGATTTAAGTCTGGATTCTCTAATTGCAATCTTATAGTGTTGTGGTAGAAGTGTGTCATGTTCTGGATTTAATTGCCTTCAGAACAGAAGGAACAGAAAATTATTATTCCAAATAGTCATGTTCTGCAACATTGCATAACAATGAAGCATATCCACCTCAATCAATAAAAAAACAAGAGATTGAACAGCAGCATTTCTGGTTCTGGTTTCCCTGATTACCTTGACACCTTGTGGTCCGGATTCTCCCGGAAGACCGTCTAGACCTCGTGGCCCCTTAGATGACAGCAAAGCATTTAATTCAGCCATTAAATTACATTTAACAGACGGTTCACGGTTCTAATTGACCTGTTACTAGACACACAGGGGAAAGAGTGCGATCAAAATGTTAAGGGACTCTCATGGCAGAAAAACCTCGTCAGGCATGTCAAAATGTGCGAAAACAAGGGGGTGTGCTCTCACACCTTACATAATGGCCAATCATTTTTTTCTACTGCCTTCAGGTTTCCATAAACATTTCAACAGCAGTCATTTTCCGTTACATTTAGACAGAAATGTAAGGACAGACATGCATTCTTTAATCCCTCTGCTTTCCTGCCTGCCGACTTTGTCTAGCCTCCAAAGTGTCACCATAACTACGTCTACCCTGACATTCCTTTTCTCCTACTCAGATATCCTGCGCGGGGCCCCTTCCACACACGCCGCCTCCTGTTCCCCGCCCCAGGGTCTTGTTCCTTCTCACAGCCCTGACTGCTCTCTGTGCTGCGGCACAGAAGGGAGCAGAGCTCTCTGCTCTCTGCTCTCTGCTACCGCCGCTGCGGAGAGGCAATCCAGCTGGAACAAGGCAGCGGAAACCAGGAAGCTTCACGCTACCTTCAGACGCTACAGGAATTTGTTCATCAAGTTGTTTTCCTAATCAAATAATGGGCAAATGACCACCGTGCTTTATGCCCAACAAAGCTGCACCCTGTATCTTTTAACAAACCGATTTCCTGGTACTGAACGAAGTACTGCTCATTACACCAAATAAACAGCAACTACAGAATTAGCTCATTGTTAGCCATGTAATCATATACAGCATTTGTCTACTCATTTCTAACCCCAATGAATGTATGAGATGACAGAATTACGATTTTGATATATGTAGGTTACGACATACTGTATAAATGAAGTAGCTATTAAGTTTTGAGGTTAAGCCACAGTTCTACAGCGAGGCAAGCATGTTTATGTTTACAATAGACAGTGTGTGTGGTGGAAAGAATGTATAACCTCTGTAAAGTAAAAAATCATTAAGCTTTTTAAAACCACAAACCAGCCAGACGTGCATTATGTAGCGCCTTGGCAAATTTACTGCCTTTAAAAAGAAAAACACTTCCTCTAGTGTCCACCACAGCACCCCTAGCAAACTAAAGAGAATCTTAAATATTAAATACTAAAAATATAAATTGTCGCAAACCTAAAAGGGTCGAGATGGATCGGGTGTCATATACTGTTCTGCCACTAGGTGTCATGCCAGAATGAGATTCAGAAAACTGAATTCTCATTTTGAACAAGAGTCCGAAAAGTGCACAGCACACAAGTAACTTGTCGTTCTACAGATTATCTTAGTCTTTATTAAATATAAAACCGAGATTATTTGTTAATATTCATGATATTATATTTAGCTGTTACAGTAGTAGAGATCTCTGAACACAAAGATTAAAATACATAATTCATACCCTTCTGCCTTTGGGACCCGGTATTCCAAGCGACCCTCTCTGTCCTGATGGTCCCTGTCGGGAAAAGGATATAAAACGTTATTTCAGCCACTGGAAATGAATGAATAAAACTTTTCACTTTTGGGCAAAGACACCTAAATCATGTAATTTTCCAAAACCAAGTCAATAGATAATTCTTAAAATGCCCTTCACCATCGGTCTCCAACTCCGGTCCTGGAGCTCTACTGTCCAGGAGGTTTTCTATCCTACCTGGTTTCTGATGAACCACACCTCTTCTCAGGTAAATACCAAGAACAGGTCTGACTCATCAGAAGCCGGGTAGGGTATAAAACCTACTGGATAGTAGCTCTCCAGGACCAGAGTTGGAGACCTCTGCCGTACATATTGACATGAAATGACTGGCTGCAAAAAGAAATTCTTATTAATATTCAGCAAGTGAGAACTTACGGGTGGGCCTTGTGGACCAACGTCACCGGGTGTCCCTGGTAATCCAGGATACCCCTGAATAAAAAAAACCCCATAAACATGCTATAGATACACAGAGATAGATATACATCCATCAGTTTGCCGTGCCCGTATGAAGGACAGGGGGCCTGGAGCCTAACTCAGGCAGTGGTGCACTCTGGACAAGATGCAAACATGGAACCACACACAACAGGGGATTTAGAGACAGCAGTTCACCTAAATTAATTTTGGATGAGTCTTTGGACTAGTTGGAGAACTTGAAGGACATTCAGCACTGGATGTGGAGACCCGTGTTGCTAACCACTGAGCCACCATGGCACCCTATATATAGTATAGCATGTATGAACAAAATAATACTGTACACCCAGGACACATTACTAAAATACTATGGTATAATGGGGGGGGGGGTGTACTAATGCAGGTGGCACTGTGGCTTCAGCCCTCCCACTTTGGGGGGGGTGCACTCCCAGCCACTGGCTCTGCATGCGTGGAGTTTGCATGCTATCCCCATTTTGTGGCAGGTACCACACTTTCCTCCATGTTCTCAACGCGTTCAGGATAAGTCGTTATGGAAAACAGACAAATCATACTGTTATGAAACAGAATTTTATTACTATAGGTCAGGGGTGGGCTACCTTATCTTCAAAGGGTCAGTGTCTATGCAGGTTTTTGGGAGAACCTTTAGGTCAGCTGTTCAAACCCAGGTGTGATGACACTTCAGCCAGTCAGTCATCTAATTAGTAATCTAATTGGGGATTTGCAGTGAAAACCCGCACACACACCAGCCCTTTCTGGATAAGATTGCTTAAGCTTTGCTATAGGTTAATACTTTGTCATGTAAGGAACTGCCTGCCAATATCAAACGTCTTATCCCCAAATCAAATTAAAGTTGTATGTGTCACATAGACGGGACAAGCAGGTATAAAAAATGGATGGATGGACATACACAGTTAAACTCAGCACGATGCAAAGTGAAATGCTTGCTGGTTTAACTCCAAGACAGTGGTGACAGGGGACTTAAGTAAAAAAAGGAAATATTGACGTGCAATGGTACCATTTAGTAATCATATAGTTGTGGGGTATTAGGTAATTTCATGATGACAGCACTCAAGGCTGATAAATTTAAAGACATGCGACTGGATGGCTTACAAGTACGTCATGTTATTTATGCACTGTTTACCAGGGTTTATATGCTATTGACATCCAACATCAGTTTAATAGTTAAGAGAAGAACATTCAAGGCAGAGCAAAACCCATGAGGAAAAGTCCACTGTGATGAAGCATACTAGTGAGTGAAACTAAAAAAAAAAAACAGTCATGACATGATGAGACCATTAATAAAGAAATTCAAAGTAAAATAGTTTATTGATTCGTAATGCATTGCTTGTATGGGCAAGAAGACCTCAGTTTAATAACAATTCTTATTTAGCAGGTAAATGTTGAACAGCTGTGTTCCACAAACTAAGAACCTAAGTAAGATTTAATGTCCTAGAGTCACGCTAATAAACGCTTACAGCTGCGTGCTGATTTCCAGGCTTTGGACTGTTATCTGCTGAACCGACAATTTCTGCCAGTAGCTTTTAAATGGTTGCGGGTAAAAGTAACTGATGTTTTATAGGCTATACAACTGTACCCTTGTTACGGTTACTAAGCATTGTCACTGCCATCCAGTGGCACAGTCTGAACCATTACATCTGTACCTGTTTTTTTCCAAATATTGCAGTATTACAAGCCTCCAACAGATTTTTTGCTAAACAAAAAAATAATCTGCTAGAGTTTTAGCGCATCTCCTCAGGCAGAGATATCGACTGTCTGGTTGAAGTCTCCTATACTTCTTCATATAACTACATTCAGTCATTCTGGAGTCTACACAAAAATGCTCCACTTCACAAATCCTTGTGGTTGCAGGGTTCATTTAGAGAAAGATATAATCTAAAATAAAATTACCAGGCAAAGCAGTTGGTGGCCATTAGGGCAAGACATGTGTGGCTTTGCAGCGTGTGAATAACCAGATTGAAACATAATATTTTGGCATTAACAAGGTTTTCAGGGACAAGAGTCAGAACTTATTGAAATCAAGTACGTAAAAAACAGGGGTCATATATAGGAGGAAAACTCAGTGCTCCTTCGGATCACCGAGTTTGCAGCATTCTGAGCTGCTTAATCTCTGCAACTGTTTACATATAAATATTAACCTATATTTTCTACTGACTGAGGTGACTTCAGCCAAAAAGCCTTAACGCCCTTGTACTGAGGGTGTTCAGGCAAAATTGATGTACGACTTCCACATGATGTTGGTGGCATTGACTTGCAGTTTTCATTCATCCTATTGCATGCAGGTGCACAGAAGTGGCAGTTTATCGTTTCATGTGTCATGTTTAGCCATTGGCATTTGCAAACATTGTAAATAAAGCAGTTATTATTGAATTTTGAGTTTGACCATTTGCTTGAATTTTCATGCTCACTGATTTTAAGTAGACTACCTTGGTAGTTTGCTTGCTAACTTGGCTGTGTGTGTGTCATAAAGCTGAGCTAGAGGTTTTGACCAACATGGCAGATGCTGCAGCTAATGCCGAATTCATTCTAAAGCCCTTTGATGAAGGAGAGCAGAATTTACATATAAGTAGGTGACCTACTAAAATCAGAATAAAAGACCTGTCTTGGTCATACTGTCAACTGCCCACAGTGTGCTTCTCTTACTTTAAGAATCACCTTCCGCAGCTGGTACTCACCACGGATCCCTTTTCTCCAGGGGGACCTAACGGGCCAGCAGGACCACGGTCACCCTATGGGGGGAGGGGGGACAATTAAGAAAAGGAAACCCACCACAAAATTGTAGTTAGTTTATGATATGATCGTAGAATCTGGTCGAAAATAATAATAATAATAATAATAATAATTTTACTAGCTAATTAGATTAAATAATAATGTTTCCAATAAAGACCATTTCATGCGAAATTTAACGACGCTCCAAAATACTTATTACAGTGATGCATCTAACAGACCCAAACTGAGTCATCTCTAAAGCTTTAATCCTTTTTATGTTTTCAAGATTGTACAAGTTTCTTCCATAGGCAGCTTTGGGGCTCAAACAGCCAGATACATCTATCAAACACATTCAGACCTCCGTATTGGAAATACATTTAAATCGTATTGCATAATTTGACTGAATATATACGATATATTATCTGAAAGGAATTCAGTGTTTGACAAGCCATAAGTGCCGCTGACGAACTGCGAAGGTGGGGCTCCTTTAGGTGCCCTATTTAGGAACGTTCTTTGTGTCTAAACAAGTTAAACTCAATACAGATCAAAGACACTGATATTAAGAATCACAGATATAAAGCATCAATCCATTAATAACACCAAAATAACATTTAACAATAACACCAATATTTGATTTCTTCTTTCATAGATCATTACCTTGACAATAAGGATGATAATGTAAAGGGCAACTTTTTGAGCAATGTTGCCAGGCAATGTTGCTGACCAGTGTCGCTTGGACACTTTCCCATTGATATCAGGCAACAAATTTCTGTTTGAAAAAGTCTGATCAGCAGTGGGCAACTTTTCACAATTATCAAGATTCATATGAGTTGCCCATTGTTTCCCTTGATTGGCAATTGCCCAACAACTTTGCTCGAAAAGTTGCCCTGTGTATCATCACCATAAGACTTTAATAAGTGTGTGCTGCCCACTCATCCACACAGAAACTGAGGATAGTTCTATGTTCTTCACTTTAGACTCAAGCTCACATACAGATACATTCAAGAGAAAGACGGGCAGACATTCAAGTACACGCAACAAACCCAATGTTCCAGGGTCGGGGCCATTCCGGAATGCATTCATCAATTCCAATCCAAATCAGGAAATGGAACTGGAGTTTGGAAAGGAAGAAAACTATGGGGAACAGAAGTGGAATTGAATTTGGATTTCTGGCAGATTTAAATCCCAACTCCATTTCCATTTCCTGATTTGGATTGAAATTGATGAATGCATTCCGGAATGGCCCCAACCCTGCAATGTTCTGCCTGTGCAAGCAACATGTACATTTACCTTCTGCTATTTCTGTTGATGTGTACTCCTGTGTACAACTACAGCAAAGACCCTGACGCAAATATAAACGTGATGTATTCTAATCAAATGTAATCTGATCCAGTCTAGACTCACTGAACACTCTCATTGAAGAACACTTTCACACTGTGCCAAAACTAGCAGTTAGATTTGAAGAGATGTACCCAAGATTTAACTTCACAATATTATTCACTTCTGTAATTCACACTTGTAGTCCCACAATGTTATTAGTACAACAGATATGTGATGTGCTGCAGTGTTTTAAACTCCACTGGCCATTTGCTCTCAAAGGTATTCAATGGAGAACACAGGTACTGCACTGTTCTACAGAGAAGTAATTACAGGGGTCCATCTATGCCAGTATTTATGAGTTGTCAGCCTGAGGTGATCAGTCATGACAGGATAATGGCAGAGAAGGAGAACCTACCTTTTCACCATGAACTCCGATTATACCCGCAGTTCCAATTAATCCCACTGGTCCCTGAAAATCAAAACACAAAAAAACATTCAGTTCACAATTTATGAGAAGGGAGAAATTGTTCAATACTCTTGTTTTAGTTTGTCATTAGTCAAAGGATAAAATAAAAACATGTTTGTCATGGGTGGAGTGGTGGGTGTGGGGATCTGTGCCTGTCATTGGAAGGTTGCTGGTTTGAATCCCGTGAATGCCTGGAGTGATCCTACTCTGTTGGATCCTTGATTAAGGCCCTTAACCTGCAACTGCTTCATCCTGTGAGTGATGCTAACCTACATCCAGCTCTACAAGGAGGTCCTCCAACATACAGGGAAAATTTGGGGGTTGGTGGCAGGACTGGCACTCTAGCTACTGGAAAAAATTCACACTGTTTCATTGGATTAGTGTGGTGCTGAGGTATCACCCACCACATGGTTACACTCAGGCTCACATAGCTGAGGTGGTTTGTTGTGTGGTGGGTGTAGCAATGCACTGTAATCAGCACATGCTCCTAACCTCTATCATCAATAAAATGTGTGTTGTATAAAAACCATTTAACACTTAGGCTTACATTTTGGAGAGATAATTATAGTATAGTATGTAATGATCAAATATATAGACAACTCCATATGGAAGTTCTGACATGATATGAATCATTAGGAAGTATGACATAGTCCAACAAAAATGTTTTCTTTGAAACCAGACACTTTATGTACATATTGTCCACTGCTGGATCTACACAGAATTATTCAGTACAGTTGCAGTGACATATGAAATGAATCAATCAACAGTAAAGGCATTTTATTGAGCCCTTTCATTCTCCAATTTTTGTGATAATAAAAATGTACCATGACAAAAATATGACACAATAAAAAGAAATAAAAGACACTACAAAGACATTCTGACTTTCCAAGGTGAAAACATCAATGACGTGAAGATGATCATCCATGCAGATACCTACAATATGTGTTAAGGACAAAAAACACACCTGCATCTAGTCAGCAAAAGCACTGACAACAACATAACCCTTCAACAACAGCAATCATCTCAGAAATAACATCTACCCTGTATCAAGATATCAACGGGTGGATTCCCGCCACGCTCCCTGAGTTACAAGCAGCACTCCGTATACGGCACACAATCTCAGCCTTTTACAAAACTGGTAGGGGTGCTGGGCTAACTTAGTAAAAGCTGCTGTGAAGTTTTCTGACCTTCAACATGCAACTTCTAAGAATGATACAAAAGGAAAACCTTGAGAGTGTAAACATATCAATAAATCTAAAGAGAATAATTGTTTCCAGAGAGGATGTCTGGAAGACTACTTGGGTTTGACTCAATGCCAAGGCACAGGTTTGGAACATAAGCAGTTTGTGAGAAAACCTGATGTGTTCAAAAAAAAAAAAAAACACAATGGAAAAAACAGATTTAGAATTTTCTCCACAATCTATTATTTTTTTGGTTGCTCGGCAAAATAGTTTGGCAAGTTTCTAGCAAAAATTGCTGAAACTTTCTTTACAACTGTTTTAAATTCCGTTATTTATATTTGGTTGAGTTATTTTTTGATATCCCGTTAGGGACATTAGTCAACATTTGAAGAAAAGAGATTGGTCTGCTAGCATGATGTGTGGGTATTACATGTCTGGACGCTGCAGGTAATAACATATAACAGCAGGCATCCATATATCCATAGTGATTTGCATTCAGTAAGATGACACAGGATGCACATCTATACTGCAAAAGGGATAATCCATCTATCCTACTAAGTTACAATTTTCACAACAAAGGATGGCAGAGCGCCGTTTATTTTCCGAAACTAAAGCGTCACTGAATGTGTTCGACATGTGTGCTAACGCATATATAGAACTTTCCCCAATTCCCATGCAAAACGCCAGCTGTTTCTCATTCACTTTGTTGAAGTACAATTATTTGTATGAGAAGAAACATAACTATGTTAGAAGTCCAAGTCACATAAAGACTTGATGAAGTCATGCTCTGGGACAGTATTAAATAATGAAAGTCAACACATCCGGTTTGAAGTGTTTCACTCTATTTCTAAAAGCTCAGCAGATGATTGTTGCTGTTATTTCATTGTTAAGCTAAGCTCAGCAGATGAATGTTGCTGTTATTTCATTGTTAAGCGATCATTTATATGATTCATCATTTTGTACATTCATGCATCTGCATACGTTACTGGAAAATTTCAAGCTAAGCACATTTTTCATTGTTTAACAGCAATGTGCCTCCTTGGACTAGAAAGTAACAGTACCGTGTCCATAAATCATCCTTAACAACTCTATAGGCACCAATACATAGAAAAACAGTTTTATCAATTGCTTTTCAGAAGAAATCAGAGAGGTTTCTTCAGTAATAAGTTCCATTGCAGCTTAACGTGCAAAGTGACTCACTCATTGATCATACACTTCAAAGAACATACTACAGAAATAGCATTTTGATAAAAGACAAGGTGGGATTAAGTGAGTTCTGGACTAGACCGGTGAGTTAAACAGATGTTCTGCCCTGACCCCTCAGTAACCTTGATTGTTAGACACAGACTTTCAGACAAACTTTTATCGTATTTATTTGGAAGGTGACGTAATGGAATTCACCAGCTTCCTGTAAGGTGCGGTGCCTCTTTTATACATTACCATGGGTTTTCTTTAGGCCCTGTGGTTTTCCTCCTATAGCTTCAAAGGCCAATGCAGATTCTTAACTAGCTAATCCTTCTCATGTGTGTGAAAGCCTCTGAGAGTGAAACATTGACAGAAAATGCTGCTGGCTCCCAATGTGTCCCATTCAAGTATTAAATATTAATACAGTCCAAAGTACAAAAAAGGTGAATGGGAAAATTAAGCAACATTAACATGCACAACATAATACAGTAATGTGAGGTCTGGGTGGAATGAGCTAACAAAACATCCAAGGGCCAATCTCTGTACCTCACAGGGTCCATTTTCTAGTTCTTGTACGGTAGGTGGTCAAAAAAATACACCAAAAATCAAATGTGTTATGCTAATTATTACAATATAAACATTTTTTGTAACTTTTGTTTCCAAGCATATTACCCTAATGCACAGGTTAAGATTATTGCAGCCCCGGAACTGTACATCATGAAACTATTTAGAAACACAACTGCAAAAAGAGATAATTTCCACAACAGAACTAATTAAAGGCACCAGCTACTGAACAGGAAAGAACCTAAACCTGATACGAAGACAGAGGATGCGAAAATATTCCACATTTGCCATGCTGTAAAAAAATTATTCTCACTTGTGGTCCAATTTTCCCTGCATTTCCTGGGTCCCCGGTTTCACCCTGTAATTAAAACATCAAAAAATATGTTACTTCACTCTGCAATTAGCCCTTGACGGCACACAACAACCAAGCTTCAGAATCAAAACCTGAACATGTGGTAATGTTTTTATTTTCACTGGATGTTGCTAAAGCAATTATGTGTAATGAAAGCCCCAGGAGAATGTCTATGTCTTAATGAGCCATTCTGCATACACATGATTTTACCAACCACCCATCAAGTAGACGTCTCTTATTTTTGAAACGTGCTGAGGACGGTCATTGGAATTTAACTGCATCAAAGCCTCAGAAAGTTGAGGGCATTCATTCTGTGACACTGTACATTTAAAAAAAATCATTCGGAGTACCGTGACAGTGACTTTGTTAAACAATTGATTGTGATTGGTTGATGGGGTATTAAATCATTTTAGACAACTGGACGGCTGTATGGGATCAGTGTGTTGTACTGTTGCATCACACCTTGGAATGAGAGGATTGAATGTGCAAACTTAGTGCCTCGTGTGTTGCATTGGTTTCCTCTAATTATTCCGGTTCCTACAGTCCAAAAACATGTAATTAGCTTAAGTTCCTAAAATGGCCATGACGATATGCCTGCGTGTGTCTGTGTGTGTGTGTTATGTGTGTGCGTTATGTGTGTGTGTGTGCGTTATGTGTGTGCGTTATGTGTGTGCGTTAAGTGTGTCCGTGAGTGCTGCAATGGAGCGGCTTCCTATCCAGGATGTACCCGGTGCCCATCCAGGAGCCTGTGCCCGATGCTGCCTGTGCCTGATGCTGCCTGTGCCCGAGGCTGCCTGTGCCCGAGGCTGCCTGTGCCCGATGCTGCCTGTGCCCGATGCTGCCTGTGCCCGATGCTGCCTGTGCCCTATGCTGCCTGTGCCCGAGGCTGCCTGTGCCCTATGCTGCCTGTGCCCAATGCTGCCTGTTCCCAATGCTGCCTGTGCCCTATGCTGCCTGTGCCCGATGCTGCCTGTGCCCGATGCTGCCTGTGCCCGATGCTGCCTGTGCCCTATGCTGCCTGTGCCCTATGCTGCAGTGACACTGATCAGGACAGCTGGTAGGAAGATGGATGAACACAATGCAGTTTAATGATGAATGTATCATGCATAATGCAAAATGAAGATGGATGAGTGTAAGGCTGTATAATAATCCACAGTTCAGGAAATTATTTTCCTTAATAAAAATGTTATTTTTCCAGCCAAACAATACAGGGAGAACAGCAGATCCCACGCACACATAAGACAGAATCAACCCCCCAACCCAGGAGGTGCAAGGCAACAGGGACACCAACTGAGCCACTGAACTGCCTTAAAAGCGGTGTTCTAAATCAATAAATGAAAAATGATAAATGTGACACACTGGTACACAAACTGCAACCATATTAACACAACAGTCCCATCTCCTTTCCATACATAGCTCTGAGGTCAAACGATGCTCGTGAGACAGGTGTCATTAATTAAGGGGAAACCTCCCATCAGTAAAGAAGATGCGAGAGCTGGCTCAGTTCCTCCACTGAGCAGAAATCATTACAGCCTGGCTGTACCTGTCACTGGGTCCCAGATGGACTGGCACCAAAAGCGCAGATCTGTTGTTAATTTTCTATTTTCCCCCCCTGTCAAATTTTCACATAAAATTGCCCGAGGGCTATGCTGACTTTTTAGTGAGCAATTTAACTTAGCGCTCAAGAAATGTCGTAATTACAGCATAATTATTCATTCCTGAAATCAACAGGTACTGCATATACATTATATAGATATTTAATATAATATACTATGGAGTTCATACATACCTATTCCAAAGAACAATGTGATGGAGGTATGTTAACAGCAGAGGTGGACAGCTCAGGTCCAGAAAGTAAAAATCCAGACCAAGATTTTGTTTCAACCAAGCAGTTGACCAGTCGACCTGATCTATCCATCTCTGGTCATCTCATATCAACAGACTGTTTCTGAAACTATGACTTACCTTCTATGAGGTTTATGAGGACACATATTCATGACAGTAATCCCTGGAGCATCTGAAATACACCTCTTATTTATACCTTCAAAGTTTATGAACCTTCAACAGGACAACATACCATTGGCCCTCCTGGTCCAGCTTCGCCTATGTATCCCTTCCTGCCTGGCCTTCCCTAAAACAGGAAACACGCACATACTTAAAGATTTAATTTTACATCAAAAATGTAAGCCAAGTGACAATCAGATTTACAAAAAGACAATTAAAAAATCTCTAATCACATTTCTTCACAAACAGTGTCTTTACATAGCAAATAAATCATTCAAAATGCTAGTAGTTATATTCTTCTTTGAGTTATAACGGAGTAAAAAAAAAAAAAAACTCATACAATCTTAAAAACTACTTGCATTTTCCATTTCTAAACAGCCGCTCATCTTTTCCAGAAACACTGCCACACCTGAACACTGCTGACATGCGATACACATTTCTGCTGCTTATATATTGCGATGGCCCAAAAATGGGTTAATAACGTAGCGCGTTTTGATCGACGGGACCTACCATTGGGCCAGGGATTCCCGTTGGGCCAATGGGCCCCTCGTCTCCCTAAAAATCAACAGAGAATATCAGCAACTCAGACAGACACTAATCTGATGATTGAGACCCTTCACTGTACCAAGCTTTAAGCGCTAATGTAAGGAGGGATGAATTGAACAGCTGTGTTTATCATATATAACCTAAATCCCTAATGCAAATAGTGTAACCATGGAAACCATCACTGATGTATAAAGGTGATACAGTTAAAGGAAAATGAAATCGACATTCTCTGTCGATGTTTTACTGTTTTTGACAGCAACCTGTCCCTGTTTCTGCATCAAATGATTCTGCTTGCCCAGACAAATGGTCTCATCTGACGGGAAAACTGATAAAAAAAAAGGCTGCTGCCTCAACACCTTCTGACACAACTCTTTAGTAAAACTATTTCTCTTCCTGCCACAGACCCATGGCAATTCTCCACCCCAGGTGGTGTTGAGAGATGCCAGCACAGTATAGCACTAGTACAACAAGTAGATGCAAGTGCGAGTCCCCAGACTTCCTTTATTTCCAGTCCTGGCAAACTCAACTCATTCACTCACATTTCCAGCTACACCCACCCAAATGACTATAAGGACTAAAATACACCCTGTGGATAGATTAACGATGCTATCTTTAGCAACTGGACGCAAACGGTACTCATGCAGGAGTTTCCATTTCCGTCACGAATGCTAAACATCTGAAGATTTTGTTCTGCACTCCATTTGGTCTCTTTACTCTTACATGCAATAAAGTGAATGTCAAGTCCTGGTGACCATACGGGCAGCGTTCATTGGGAAGTCTCTCACATGTGAGATGTTTGGCCCATTTTTAACCCATGGGCTTAAAGCCATTGCAATGTTCACAAGATACAATATTACCAGTTAAGGTTTACCTCGGGTCCAATAGGTCCAGGCGGCCCTACTGGACCTCTAGCACCTTGAACACCCTGAAAAAGACATATTAGCATTTGAACCTAGCGACGTTTCCTCCTCCTGAAGTATTAAAAATGAGCCTCAGGTATTAATATTGAGTTTCCTGTACCTTCACTCCAAGTGGGCCATTCGGACCCGGGGTTCCAATATCTCCAGGAAAACCCTGAGGATGATAAAGCATTTAAAAACAGAACATCTTCCTTTTGATGTGTCTGCAAAAAATGCAGCATCTCAAAGAGAGCTTATATTCTGATGGTACAACCAGATGGCTACATGCAGTCCCCTGTCAAAAGCTTAAAGATCAAGTTAGATAAATCATGCTGGAAAAAATAAATATTATTATTATTGCTGTTAACTAACAATTTGAAAAACAGCAAAAAAAAAAAAAAAACCATCATCGCATTACAACAACACATGACATATCAAAGCCAAAACTAGACACACCACAGCTGCTATATCGAGTGTCTGGATTTTCACTGCAGTCTGGGTATTAGCCTTAATTAATTTTTCATAATTAAAATTATTTATGCAATGACTACCACACTGAGCAAAATCTGAATTTATTCCCATAACAATTGCACATCTGGAACCTCTGTACATACATACATTACTTCTTTGCAATTATTTGGAAAGTAGTATTTAACGAGCATCTAGTTTGAACACTTGTACACACTGCATGTCACAGTACATATCAATTTACTGACTGTGATTTGTACTTATGTGCAGCTATTGGCTATTTTAAAAAATCTATTTACATTTTTCTTTTGATTGATTTATTTTTCAGTTTATGTTCTGTGTTGTCTTTGGAGGAATGCAAGGATCATGCCAAGACAAATTCCTAGTACATGTATGTGTGCCCGGCCAATAAAGCGAATTCTGATTCTAAATTCTGATTATAGTCATTGATGTCTGGAGGTAGAAGAGCCCTTGATGTGAGAGCTGAGGAATGGGAGAAGGTCACGTTTCTCGGACGGGAGTTTGCGCTTCCTATGTACACTGGCTTCCCCCATATATCCCAAAAACTTCTGGTCAGGTGTATAGATTGTCCATAGTGGGTGATTGTGGGTTTGTGCCCTGAAATGAACATCCCATCCAGGAAGTTCCCTGAGTCATGCTCTATACATCCTGGGATACCTTTCAAGCTCATTGTGAACCTGGGCTGGAAAGGCAGTTAGGATGATGGACAAACACGCCAGTCCAACCCAACACTAACAAAGGTAGATGCTCTTTTGTATAAATTACGAGATGTCAAAATCAATTTCATGATTGGTCATCCACACTTTAGGGCACTACCCTATTTTAGAGTCCGGAATGTACCATGTACAAGGTAATCAAGGTACATGGTGCCAAATAAAGGAAATCCAACACAAAGACCAAATGGTTTGTCCTATCACCCTTACCAAAAAGCAGACACCCATCTCATTTTTTTATGGCACCCTCAGATGTTCTTTGTGATAGCAGCTATGTTTTATGCACCCTGTCGGTCCACTCAGATAGTCACCCAGCTGCTTCACACTGCAGCCATCGCAAAGCCTGCCGGCACAGCATCTGAAATCCACATGTGCATCTTTCTGCTAGAATTAGACCGAAAGGCACGATCAAATCCCACTCAAGAACCAAAGAATGCAGACTATAAACAGTCAATTTAAGGAATTGGACCGATGCTCCAAGCACGTCATCAGCTCTCTGGATCCTTGCATCCTCAAAGCAATCTAGGGAACTTGATATAACTCATCGTATCTGGTAGAAAAGAAGCACATAAGAGACATGTATTCCTAAGTTCTGCTTTTTGTTTAGCCCGTGTACATATATGAGAAGAACCTTCTGATCTTCTGAAGGTACACTAAGATACACTAAGTTCAGCCATCTGATTTCCATAACAGGAGACTTATCCAATGCAAGCCTTAAGAAGCACAGGGTACGGAAAAGGGGACATGCTGGATGGGATGCCAGTAAATCCTAAGGTACAAACTCACACACACAATCATGTACTACAGGTCTAATCATGTGTTTTTCAACATGAGAGGAAAAATGCAAGTTTCCACACTAAGAACCGCAGATGAAGACCAGTCCCACAATCCTGGAGCTGTAAGGTCATAGTGCTGAGCCAGTGGGCCACCCAGAGGTTATATAAAACATGTTACAGGATATGGAATTTAAGTTACGTCTCATCGCTCTGGTTACAAAAAAAAAAAATCACGTACAACTTGAAATGATCTATGTTCTCCATTTCAGATAACAGCACAAAACTTCAGCCTTAAAGCGCATATCAGATCTTTGTGTTATTAGGGGGAAAAAAACATGTGGCAGCATATAGGAGCAGCATTTTTAAATAAATTAGTGGATATTGCTTTTAACAAATTTTTCCAAAAAAAAAATAACAAAATGATGAGTGTCCTGTCAGTCATTGTTAACCTAACATTTCAGAAAAACCTTAAGACACATACTGTTTTACAGCCAAGAGAACGATGTTAAAAATGGAACCAAAGGCAGAGTTCAATGCACAACTGTACAACCACTGACAGCTGACAGCCAGATGACTGAAACAGAAGCATTTAGCAAATTCCATCCATCCATCTTTCCATTTCCAGTAAGCTCTTGTCCCATTGAGCATTTAGCAAATTAATATGGATAATTGTAGCTTATATGTTTAGGTTAGCAGTGGTAAATATGGGCAGGCTTACTTTAAGTAAATATCACCTAACATCTTCAAAGCAAACCACTGGCCAGAGTGACACTTTAGCTCAATGGGTAACACTGGAGCCTCACATCTCCTGGGTTGGGGGGGATGGGTTCAAGAATCACCCCTGTTGGGTCTGGGTGTGTTTACAGTATGTGTATGGGATATGCATATATCACATTGTGAGGACCAAATGCCCGCGCAATATGATAAAAACCTGTTATTCTGACCTTGTTTTGGTCCCCACAAGGGGAATATCAGTTTTTATAAAAATCTGTAAATGCAATCAAAAAATGAAAATGGCAAAATACTTATGGTTGAAGTTAGGGCTGGGTAGGGGTTAAGGTTGTCATTGTTGGGATTGTGGGTGAGTGTCTGTGTGTGTGGGTCGTGTATACATTACATTGTGGGGACATTTATACTAAAAACCTGTTTTTTTGACACTGTGGGGACCCATTTTTCAGTGAAAATCAGTGACTACAATCAAAAAACAAAAATGCCAAATGTCTTGTATTTTGTTTGGTTACTTATGACTAATATTAGGACTGGGTATGGGTTAAGGTAGTATTGTTGGGATTAGGGTTATGCACATAGAAATGAATAGAGAGTCCCCACAATGGTATAAATACATGGACTGTGTGTGTGTGTGTGAATAGGGAGGGGGTTGGATGTGTGTTTGCCCTGTGATGTCCAGGCTTTCTCCTCACGGTGTAGTCCTGCATTGTGCTTTATAGTACATGACCCTGACTGAAACAGGGGGTCAGAAGATGGATGGAAATTGTAAGACAATTTCAGGTTCATGCAAGGTGTCACATTAGCGATACCTATTAACTGATTGTCAAGTTTAATCAACGTATCTATTACTGTTCAGATAAACAAGAGTCTCAGGAGTTTTCTTCCTGTGAATGACAGAACATCAGGGGTGAGTCACGAGTCATCAGAACCAGGCCGGGAGAGAACCGTTCTCACCTCTGGGCCGGACGGGCCTGGTGGCCCAGGTGGTCCTGGTTCGCCGATCTTCCCCTTTCCAACGGGAAAAGAGAGACAACATAGAAAATCATGAGCAGGAGCAGGCAGCAGGCAGCAGGATGCAGCTTGAGGCTTATCTACCGAAAGATCGAAGAATTTCAATGGATGTCGAACAAAGTTTTCATAAGAGTGTAACAGCGCCAAAAATACATCTAGTGGGTGATTTGAAGGCCTTGTGTACATTCTGTATACTATTGTATCCACTTTTCATAATGCTTATACAATGCAGATAATTCTGCTTTTCTATATTTTATACCATCCATCTATCCATTCTCTAAACCAGGGCTATTCAACTCAGGCCCTCGATTCCAAATCCAGGCCTTGTTTTCAGTTCTCCCAGGTAGTTAGTTTAATAATTACTGATTCTGATTGGTCAGAGGTTTCACACCTGGCTCACCGGTTAAGGAAGGCTGGAAAACCAGCAGTGCTTGGCCAATGAGGACCGTGAGTTGAATAGCCCTGCTCTAAACTGTTTACTTATAGTTCTTTAAACAAATATATCTGACTGGAATCCCATTCAGGGTGTTTCTTGTCCTGTGTCTGGTGCTTTCTGAGACAAGTTCCAGGGTCACAGCCACCCAGTATGGGAAAATTAGTAAATGAACCTTTTCAGTAGTGTTTCCCAATCCAGTCCTTGGGGACCCACAGACAGTCCACATTTTTGCTCCCTCCCAGCTCCCAGTAGCAAAAATATGGACTGACTGTGGGTCCCCAAGGACTGGATTGGGAAACACTGCTTTGTAGAAGATGGATGGATGGATGGATGGATATACACTCCAGGGCAAAAAACATAGGCCAAACCCACAACAAATCAATTGTCAAGGCACTTCTGAGCTCTGTGCCACCATTGGCTCATCTCTGCTGGTTGCTGCAATGAACTGATGGGGGCAAACAGTTGGAAACTAGAAAATTCACTTACACAGTCTACTGACATGTAAAGATTAAATCATGAAAAATTTTAAACTAACACGTCTAGGTGTTTGAATTTTTCCAAAAAATCTTCTAGCTATTTGCTGTTGAGACCACTGAAAACTTCATGCTTTGCAAAGTTTGGTTTGGCCCATTTTTTTCTGCCCAGGAGTGTATCTGTCATATTAATAAGGCTTATTATACAGATTTTTTAGTATTGAAAGGGAAGATCATTCTAAAGAGGGGCATGGCTACACTTAGACTAACACACAGTGATACATACGGATGGTCCAGGTCTCCCTCGGATGCCTGGTGGTCCTGGCAAGCCTACTGCACCCTAGACAGGAGACAAGACATCATTAATTCATACACCCCCACATCACTGTCCGCATGTGTCGACAATGTGTGGTGTTTACATTTTTGTTTAGTCTGGTGACTATACTCTTGACTGTTGTTGCATCACTTGCTCAGTGCCTGTTTTCAATGTAATTTATCACAAAATTCACTCCGCACACTGAAGAGATCTTATTTTTTTCTTATTCTCATTAGAAAAAAAATTATGAACTACTTACCTTTTTGATTAAATGCTCAAAAATTTGACATTGTTTGGATAACTACTGAAGATGAGGCTCTACTTAAAGCATAAATTGATCAACTATTATTTCCCCAGCTTATTCTTCATTTTCAGGACAGTTCAAAATTTGTCTGGTCTCACCTTGTCACCCGGGTATCCGCCGTCTCCGGGCTCGCCTGTAAATCCAGGATCCCCCTGTATCACAGAGCATTTGTTGGCGAACAGAGGAAACCACTTACTGACATTTTCAGGGAAAACCCATATGCAATGCACACAGCGTGCAATATCAAATGGGAATCCCATGCAAAGAGATACCAGTGCCACACGCAGTTCCATATTACTTAATATAGTAATATATCTTATTATACTGTATGTAGTTTGGTAAATGACATTCTACGGCAATCAGAACAACTGTACATCAGATCGCAGTAAAACATGAAATGCTCGCTAGAGATACAATGAAACTGAAAAAGGTACCCATCTCTCATTATCTCTTAAATTGGTAATCCGTTACTTGAGGGAGCACAAAAACCAAGCAATGACTCACTCAGTACTGTAGAACAAATCATGAACACATATAGTGACTACATGAGAAGATGCATCACGATTAATTAATGATGAACAAACACAAGATCAGTATAAGTAACTTGTGTTACTCATTATTTGAGGCTTCAGTAGTTCACAAAGGATCACAGAATTATCAGATACACAGCCTCTCCCCAGGTTAAGAGGGGGTTAGGTTCCGACAAACCTATTGTAAGGCGAAAATGCATTTTAGTACAGTACACGTAACCTAACAAACATCATAGCCTAACCTATAGCTTGCCTTAAAAATGTGTAGAATACTTACATTAGCCTACAGTTGGGCAAAATAATTAATACAAAGCCTAATTTATTTTAAAAAGTGTTGAATATCTCATGAAATTTATTGAATGATGTACTGAAAGTGAAAAATATCTACTCATCATAAAGTCAAAATATTGTAACACGGGGAGTGTCTGTAGTAACAAAAATAGTGACTGAGATAAAAGATGCATCATAATTCATGAATGATGAATGGACATGAAATCAGTATGTAACTAAGACTTAGTTTGTAGTTCATTAATACATAAGTAAGAACATAACATTATATTAGTTGTGCCGTCTCAAGTAGAGTGTTACCATTATATTTTGTGTTGTAGGTCCTACCACTTGTGATAATGAACAACCAATCAAATGGTCATATTTTTGTAGAATTCCCACTGAACAAAAAACAGTGGTTCCATTCATTTAATTAATTTGTATTTAAGTATTTTACAAACAAGGGCAAATAATCAAATTTACAATTTTTAATATTTGGTAAAAACAATTATTTGAGAAAAGCATGCAGGAAAGGACCACATAGTATCTGTCAGACCTCACACTATTAATCTCTTCTGTATACTGTATAACCCCATCCACTTTTCTACCCCGTATTAACTATGGCATTTACAACAATAACAGAAATATTTAGATCACCTTATCACCTTTCAATCCAGGCGGTCCAGCACGTCCACTCAGGCCCTAGCAGGGAGAAATCATGTCACCAAGTATTTAGGCTACAAGTCAGCACAGTGGTAAAGACAGTGGACACCCATGTGGGTTAAGAGTTTGACGTACCTGAGTTCCTATAATGCCTAGTGGTCCCCGGGGTCCTTCGGGCCCCAGCTCGCCCTTTGTGGAGAACGAGAAAGCACTAAGTTATGGAAGGTTACATCATCGGTATCCAAAGAAAACCATGCATGTCCACTTTTTAACGGCTGACATTTTTTATCATAGATGGAATACGCCCATTCTCTTCCGTCTGTGTTTGACAACTAAGTGACCAATGAAAAGATGTTTTATGAAGTCGTCTACTTAACTAGTATTAATATTTGTACTAGTTAACATTCGTATTCATGATGGTCATTTGAGTGGATTACTTTATATCACTAATTATAATAGCTAAATGTTGACAGCTAGATATGTAGCTAACTAATATTATTGTTAGTTGTAAATATACAGTGAAATTAGTTTGTATCTTGACACTGGCATATTTGCCTCACTGATAATCCACGTAACTCCATTTAAAACAAACTGTTCAGTGATGGTCTTGTAAAGAAATATTTATATTTGTGGCACTAAGGGTTTCACATTACTTTAGTTTTGTATAGTAGTTTCTGAGAAAATGCATTTTTTCACGCTTTTGAAATGACGGATTTTTGGAGATACATGTTATTGCATCGGACAGCAATGATATGAAGGTAGAGCACAGCTGAACAAAACTAGAAAAAACGCTCACTGTTCTCCTACATTACCCTGCCCAAAAAATCTATAGACTAACTAACAACAGAGAGACAGGATGACACCCCCCATGCTTTCGGGAGGTACCGGTGCCTTGGTGTACCTGAAGAGGCAAAGACATAATTAAAGCCTCGCTCTCTGCTCTTTCATCTCACCACACCGTTACCTCATCGAGTCGACATCTCCGCTCAGCCAGTACACGGTGACTTTGCTTGCCCGCAGGTATTTTGGGACAAATCTCAGCCCTGACACGACGGCTTACTAGCCAGACCGAGCAGTGTGTGCAGGTGGCACACAGGAAAGACACACGTCTCTACAGGTTAGTGCGCATATCCTGACACAAAGCGAAACAGGAAATGGCATCATTTACGATCTTCTAGGGCTGCTTCTCACAGGAAAGGCTATTTCGGACAGGTTCCAAGTGGCCTAGAGAACTAAGGATGCAAGCTGATGGTCTGTTTCACATTATAGTGATTTAGGGGTAATCTCTCCAGTTCTAATTACTGTTTTGACCAAAATACAAATTCCACATAATGGACCAATCACCCTTTTCATTGGGAATCTCAATGGATGTACAAATCTCATCTAAACAAAGCCAGACCAGTGTTGTCATGGAAAGAAAAAATCTTGTTTCTTTAGCACATTGTCATAATGTACACTGCTTATAATAATGTCATAATGTACATGATTGAGTAAACCTAGCTGCTGTGAAAATGGTGAGATGGGTCATAAAAACCTGTAAAATTTGGAGAAAAGTGACCAAAAAAGGTGGTAAGAAGGGGAACAGTGAGACTTGCTAACTGGATAGATTCTCCTTTCACATCCACTCTGCATGCATGTCGTCATTTTATCTGTGTCAGGTTTGGGCACATGACAATCCGTGAGATTTCCATCGCTCAGTCATGAGAAGCATACAAAACGGTGAGACTTCATACCTATGATACGTTTGTTAATATGCTTTGCTTGGTACCACTGACATAAAAAAAAGACAAATTATAATAATGATTTATCTCTCTCTAAGTACCAAAATATGATGGGAGATACAGCCAAGACATGCTAAGAACTACGTGATGTGTAACAGGGTTATTCAAATCACGGTCCTCAAGGGTAGAGCACTGCTGGTTTTCCAGTTTTCCTTTACCTGTGAGCCAGTTGTGAAGCCTCTGGTCAATTAGAGCCAGAAATTATTAAGCTTAACTAACTTTAATTACCTGGGAGACTTGAAAACAAGGTCTGGATTTGGAATCGAGGGCCAGATTTGAATAGATTTGTATAACATTGTAGCACACATGCTAAAGAATGCTAGGGAAGTTAGACTTAAGTGACATGTATTTTATTTTAAAGATAAAATAAGGCAAGCATCTATATTAAAATATTTGTTTTGCACTGTATTAATGTGTTACAGCACATTTAGCAACAATATGGCCACTTGTATTGTTTTTTTAGTTTTAATTCCTGGTAATTCTGAGAAGAATTCCAAAACGTTTTGTCTCAAACTACAGCAAGAAAATAGCTGGTATAAAAACAGGGCTAAACAGGTACACAGTCTGCTGTCCTGTCAGAACAGGAAGCCCCGTCTTCGTCTCACAGCTGGCATCCTAGAGACAAAAGCCTACAAAATGAACACTCTCAGCAGTATTATGATGTAAGTCATACCACTAGCTAAATGGCCTTGAGAGATATTAATGCAGTGCACATTCTTTAAAAAAAAATATCAAAGCATATTTTAAATTCTGTTATGGTGAAGATTTATTACAGTCATCTCCAGAAGGATGTCACGCAGGCCAAGAGGATAGGGTTGAAAATAACTGTAGTAAATACAGTATGGTGAGGAAGTAAGCCAGAGATGTTTCCGTATGGAGACCGTATGAGCCAGTTCCGTTCTATGATGGCTGGCTTATGATCAGACTGGTCAATACAAAAACAAGCCGTTGAAATACAATAGAGAAGGACAAGATTAAGCCCAGTTTATTGCAAAATGTTAAATGCAAATATGTTTTTTCTTGGCAAACACACACTGTACTATTCACGGCTGTGTGGTATTTCGCTGATTATCTTGTTTACACCTATTTCACTGATTACACTTTTTTCCACTATATGAGTCACGTTTTTCAACAGAAGAAAACACTTCAAGATTATTTGGTAATACTTTGTATTTAAAAAAAAATGACTGTCCTTCGGAGGTCCTGACTCTCTGAGGTCATAAATGATCTCTGGGCATCTTTCCAAAAGAGTAGTGGGGTAGTAGGGGAGGGTGATGTGACCTAAAAAATTTATTACGGTATGTTTCACTTTTTGGATGGTAATGGTATTATATCACGGTATTATTTTGTTCCAAGTTTTGGGAGGAGTAGAATGTCCTGTCCCTTTATGTAAATTAAAAATATACAGACATTCAGTCCCCAAAATGTAATATAAACCTAATCCACACATACACACACACACACACACACACACACACACACACACATTGATAGTTGTATTCATATATTTGTGGTGATCATCTATTCATTTCTATAGGAATAACCCTAATCCATACTATACAATGACAACCTTAACACCTACCCAGCCCTAACCTTAACCATGAGTAACCAAACAAAATACAAGACTTTTGGCATTTTTAGTTTTTTGATTGTAGTCACAGATTTTGATCAAATTAATTTTCCCCCAGTGGGGACCGAAAAAATGCCCCCACCAGGTCAAAATAACAGGTTTTTATCACATTGTGGAATGACCACAAACACAGACACACGAACCCAGAGAGCAGAAGCAGGAATTGAACCGCAACCCTGTAGGTATATGGCGACAGTGCTTCCCACTGAGCCAGAGGAAACGTTTACTAGGGAAAAAAAATTAAATTGGCTTCAAATGCATAACAAAGTCAAAAATCAACATCGCCCACACGGAAAATAAAGAAGGAGAAACGTTTACATCTGTTGCTGCCAATTCTAATCAAATCACATGCTGCATGGCTCACTACTGCACACCCGGACAGGGAGGAAAGTACAGGCTACTGGTGACAGTTTAGGAAATTAGAAAATGATTAAATGTGATTAAACTCACCCTCAGACCAGGGAAACCTCCGATTCCAGGAACACCGACAGGGCCCTACGGGGCAGCAAGCAGCACGGTGTGACTGGGTAACAAACAAGCACTGTGCCACATGGGCTCCACAGATCTACTCTGTGTCATGAAATTATTATCATAAAATTCTACTACTCAGCACGTTTCGTTAGCTGACGATAAAGTCATGACATACAAACCGTACCCACCATAGCATTTAACAATCATGGTGACTGCGAATATTTCTACATCTTATATTTTGTAATTCAACTACACAGTGAGAATAATAGGCGCACAAATAATCTGGATAAAGCAATACAATAATGTATGATAACAAATGTGAGACAAGGTAGGTCAGAGCTTTTAAGAACACGGATCGCATGCATTGTGATAAGAGCAGCTTACTTTTTCCCCGTCCGGACCTGGGGGACCTCTCTCACCCACATCTCCAGCTACACCCTTAGCGTAAATATTAATGTGGATTACAGATCACAATTTCCTATTTTATTCATTCAGCTGATGATTCATTTACTTCGCATGGCCATTAAGGTAGTAATAAAGACAAACAAACATTTGATATACCTGAAAAAATAAATGAATGAATCACAATGATTGGCCTACATAATTGCTACAGTACTTGCATTAAGTGAAACTTTCCACTGTTTGCCTTACTGATATCACGTTTGTAACCACTGAATGTTAATATAAAGTGAATGTAACTATTTTCTCATAGCAGTCTCACAGTTAAGTTTCAATCTGTTCCCAGCTCAACTGAGCATGTCCAACATCTCATTCCTAAAGCGAAGGCACCGATATGATGTTGGACACTCTTTGTTGCTATAATTTCCTCTGCTTTTCTTGGAAGGATTTCCATTAGATGTTGGAACATTGCTGGTGGGATTTTCGGCCATTCGGGTTGGGTATTCTTGGCCTATCAAATCTCTCTCTGAGTTTGTGCGGCCTACTACTTCCCAGCTGAACTTGCTCCCAGACATTTTGACCTTCACAGTCACTTCACTTAGCCCCTGATAGCCCCTGGTTTTAAAGACAGCACCCTGTAATGGTGCCAAGTGAAAAATCACTAATCTCTTCTGTATGACTATCCATTCTGTTGCTTGGTGCAGAACATTGCGTGACTGTGTGCTTAATTATGCACCTGTGTCAGTAATGGGTGTGGCTTAACTAGGCAATTCCTCTAATTAATAGGGGTGTCCACATAATTTTGGCCATATTGTGTATCTGGCTGTGATTTATGTATATTTTCGAAATCCCAAAGCTTTGGTAATGCAACACAGATCCAGATGGCTAGGCAATGAGCCCATCTCGAATTTAGGCAACAGTTTGTTGCTTAACAGACTAGAGGCAAATCCCACAATACCAGTTTATATCTATCATACCTTCTATTTAGTTCTTTTATGGATAGATTAACAAAAACACAGCAGTAACCCCAAACCACTGAAACAAAAACAAAACAAAACAACCTTCCAAATAAGGCTTTGTTAAAAAAGAAAAAAAGCAGTTTATCCTGTGGGGTGACTCCTACATAAACTTCATGTTCCTTCTGAAAAGACAGAAATGTCCACAGAACACACACCTTACACTGACATCTCACACAGTCAAAAAACGTTCTATGTGCCCTAAGGCTTTCGTTCTTTGGTTTAAGGTCTTATTTTTCTTTTCATGTCACAGTGACAATGAAGGAAATTTATGAAAAAATTGAATCTCATAGCTAATTATATATTTGCATAATCCATCTTGAATTATGGGGTGAAAATAGCCTACCTGTCTTCCTTTGGGTCCTTCCTTGCCAACTGGACCAGGAATCCCCTGGGAAGCAAGATATCAAGTCAGAATCAGAAAAAATGCAGTTTGAAATGAGATAAGGTAAGGTAAGGAGTATGCTCTAATTACAGAGCATTGTACACCCACCACACGACAAATCACCTCAGGGATGAGAATCTGAGTGCAGCCATGTGGCAGGTGGTACCTCAGCACCACACTAGTCCGAATGGACCCGTGTGAGTTTTTTCCCGGTGACTGGAGTACCAATCCTGCCACCAACCCCCAAGTATTTCCCTTGTAAGTTGGAGGACCTCCTTATAGGGCTGTATGTAGAATAACATCATACCCAGGATGAAGCGATTGCAGGTTAAGGGCCTTGCTCAAGGGCCCAACAGAGTAGAATCACTCTGGGCATGCACAGGACTTGAATCAGCAACCTTCCAGTTGCTGGTACAGATCCGTAGCCTTAGAGCCACCACTCTGTTCGAATATGAGATAATCAAACCATTATATAATATCTTTATAAAGTAAGACTATGGAAAATAAAACTGGTGAAGATTATATAGGTATATGTTCAGGCAATTGTACTGAGTAAAGCAGATATTAAAATCCTAAGCTAATATCATAATAAAAAGTAAAAAAAAAATGTTATAATAAAAACTGTTCCACATTAAGATAGGAAATAGTTGGGATTTAAACATTACAGTTTACTGGATAAAGAACTAGCTAAAAAGCCCCTAACCAATAGACCACTGACATTTCAAAGCATAGAGAATTCCCAGCATGGCAACAATGAGTCCCACAGTAGCTTAAGGCATCTGTGGTACCTTTGTGGAATAAAAAGCTTGTTAATCATCAGCAGCTGATGTTTTGTATCTGCGCCCCCCCTAGAGGAGCATTGGTTGGCATAGCATTGCATCAAATGGCAAAGGAAAATGAACTGAACTTCTGCCTGGCCTGCTTGTCTGTAAATGAGCAGGGCTTTCCGGTCAGATGCCATTAACACAATATGCCTCTGTCCCCCCACAATCCAGTGACAGACACGCCATCCACAGGGTCTTTCCACCTAATACCACATGTAACATTCTCTCCGTCACGTGACCTAAAGGACTTACTCTTTCTCCCTCCAGTCCAGGAGGTCCTGCAACGCCAGGAGGTCCAATGAAGCCCTAAAACAGATACACACATCACATCATATTTACTCAGGGTACATATTACACATAGTAAGGAATTGCCCCCTGGGATCAATAGAGTATTCCTTATCATATCCAGTTAATATTTATTTACATGATTCATATGAATTAAGTATGAAATCTGTGTGATTGTTTTCCTGCTGTTATAATAATCTACCAATAATAATCTATTAATGCCCAGCATAGGCAGTTCTCTAAGTACAGTATAAATGTTCAGGATGTACTATCCCAAAACATCTAAGGACACCCTCTATTACATAAAAGCATAAAAATCTACATTAACTTTCAGCAGATTCATCAGCAATCATGGGTTCAGTGACACTTTCCATATTCCATGCTAATCCCAACCCCCCCGCTCCTTGTTTTAAATAAAAAGTTAGTTGGAAGTGATTCATGCAGTTTGTGCCAATGTTTCTATACGTTTTATATATTCTGTTTCATTGTCTAAATGTCTTTCTCAATTACCTTTTAAGTAACAGAGATCAGTCAGTTAACTAATATTTTCCCTTAAACTTCATAGAGAAATGCTAGCAAAACTCTATTGTCTCTAACAAGTTGCATTTGTGAATATACGTGTCATTCCACGGAGCTCTCAGAGCTGAAAATTTTGCCTTATTCAGAACCGATCTTGCTATTGATAAGGAACCCATCAGGACCGTCAACATCCACAGCACTGTGCCATGTTTGATGTCATCTCGTGCTCTGCAAGTCGGCCCTCACTCATGCCATCATATACTGCCTAATGAGCCTGGCATCCCAAAATGGATTAATGAGGAAAACATTCCTATCTTATGCAAAAAAAAGACCCCCCAGTAATCAGTATACGCTGATGACTATGAGTAAGGAGACACATAAACCAAAGCGTGGGGTTAGGAGTGAGACACCATGACATCATGACATGATATACTGCTCTCTCTTACCGTGTTTCCATTACCCGTCTCCAGTAGCAGCCTGGCACCGATAAAGGCCCAAGTCTCCAATAAAATTTCAATTTAGTTTAAAATGTAACCCGTTCACTGATTCTCACCCAGAGAGGACATTTTAAAATAAGTTAAGTTATACAGGCTCCTGGAACTGACCATAGTTAGGCAATATAGTGTGTCACAGCATGGAAGCTCCATAGAAGCTGGTATATTTAACAGTAAAACAAAACATTTTTTAGTTATTGCGCACAGTAAGGTGTAACTTTTCACTCTCTATAAAAGCTTTCCATAAAATTATATACTGCCCTATGTGAACAAATGGTTTGCCAGGGGCTATGTAAGTAATTTTGCTAAATTTATTTCCAAACACTCAGAAAAGTATAATTATGTGTAATTATTTGAAAATAAATACATACATTGGAAAAACATCTGTGATCAAGGCATTTTGGCATTGCTGATTTAATTTCCAGGAAATTGTTCTGTTGTTTCCTCTTTGAGTTACTATTTCCTCATGTAAGATATACCTGCACTAGCATGTGATATTAATTTCCATACCTCTTCATCTATTGTGTTCTATGACAAAATGTTAATATCATAAAGTACATGTTTTTTATTAATGGACTGTATGATGTATGAATGAAATCACATGCATTGTCCTTTAACATAATACTGAAAAAATATGTTTTCACTATTCCGGTTCCTACACTATGTGTTCCAGGCATCACAATAAGAATAAAAAAGCCGTGTTCAATGTTCCAGCTATTTATGATTTTAAATCAGACCCAACAGTCCTAGCACAGAATGGCATGTTGTTAACGGTCAGGGAGGCCACATTTGGTGGTGGAGCGTGTAGGGTTCAAATGCACTAGCATAAAAAAGTACAACATGAACAGTGACTGGAAGACAAACTGATCCCTGTCTACTGGCCTCATTTGGATCCAATTTTCTACACAAAGTCCTGCCACATATTCTGTGTCCTGGGGACAAACAGCATCTTTCAGACCCAGCCACAGTGTAGAACAATGAGATGCATCTGAGCTGTGGTCTGCTCTCGGTTCACAGCATGGGCGCCTGCTGAGTGCGTAGGAAACATGGCCTTCCTCTGTACTTTTCACCTGGTCCTCTGCTTTCTTCTTATTGCCAATAGCGATCACTCCCCATCCCTGTGTCTGGGATTCTGCCAGTACGGATCCTATAGCTCTGAGCTGTCTAGTGCGGAAAGTAGCCAAGTAGCTACCAGAGGCAATTCCAGGGACTCTCGGGGGGCCCTAGGCAAAAAACAACTGTACGGGTCCCCCACCTCACCCTCCCTCGACACAGAAAAATTCATTACCGCTATTTTAGCGCAAAGTCTAATTTACTATCAAGGAAGAGAATAACAAACACAACTCCTTTATTTTCACTTTTATGTAAAACAAGATACACAAACAAAGCAGATTTGTTGTTGCCATGTAAAATGCAATCAGCTGCCCTCGGGGGCCCCCTTCCAGCACCGGGCCCCAGGCAGCCGCCTGCCTGCCTGCCTGCCTTGCATGTCCTGCTGCTAAACCTTTGGTAGCAACACGCTATGTCCTGGCACTCATCCGTAGGTCATGTATTGTGAGAAATCGGAGCGGCGCTGAGGGCGGCAAGCTCACACGCTGTCTGCCAGGCCTCCCCGTGGGCACAAACCTGAACCCTAGCAAAGGCTCATGCCTGAACAAGAGCGGGACCTGGCTGTGCTCCCCAGAGGAATCTCTGTGCAGCGTGTAGCTAATGCTCGATGAGGGACACGAAGCCTAAATGGGCTTTCAGACCGCCTGGGGCCCGTCGCCGTCTAATGCTTTCAGGAAGTTAAATATTCACATTTGCCACAAAGGAGGAAGAACGCTTGCAGCGTTTAGGACATACTCACTCTAACACCTTTGGGACCTGGGTTGCCCTCTGGCCCAGCCAAACCCTGCAACAGAAAGTAGGGGATTCATTTTGCAATATATATTTTCTGCAAAAAGAATTACTGACTATGTATTACAATGCTTTGGAATTTACAATACAAACATCACATTGTGTATACAAATAAATCTTTAATCAGCAAAAAACAAAACGAATACTTAATACTGGTTAATGCTTCTTACTGATTATGCAATACTTATTCAATTACAAATCACAAACAATACTCTCTAAATGTCTTTTTCACTATCAAAGGTGTTTCATAACTTTCGAGATGTTATTGCATTGTTAATATTAGAAAACGTCGTAATAGTTTAACAGACTGATAAACATATTCTTTTGCTAAGCTTAAACTAATCTGAAGAATAACAAAAAAAAATCAGCAAAGAATAAATAAAAGAACACATCACAGAAAACGGTGAAGAAGTCAAGCACAGACAAAAGTAAGTTAGTAAACAACCATTTACTAGGGAACAACATAAAATTGAATGAATAAAAACATGAATAAAAACTGGAAGTTAGTTACTGCACCTGCCTGCCAGGGTAACCTGCTTCCCCAGGCAAACCAGACAATCCTAGCAAGCCCTGTGCAGGAAGAAAGAAAGGATAAAGAAAGAAGAATGTTCTTGTCCGTTTTCCCAGTCATGGGCTGGAAGAGGCTGCCTTAGCAATTTGCAAGGTAACAGGGGTCATTCATTTCGAAATCACAGACTCGGTTATAAATTTGTCTCCAACAATCTGCTTAGAAAACTTTGTGTCGTTTCCCCTTTGGAGAATAATTATTCAACTGACTGTAAATAATACTCTGAAACAGAACAATTAATTTTTATATTGCATAGACCAGAGCTCTTCAAATCTGGACCCCGATTCCAAATCCTGGCCGTGTCTTCAGTTCTCCCAAGTAGTTAGTTTAATAATTGCTGATTCTGATTGGTCACAGAGGCTTCACGCCTGGCTCACTGGACCAGGTAGGCTGGAAAATCAGCAGTGTTCGGACCTTGAGTAGCCCTGGTGCAGGCTAATCATGATTCTACCAAGGAAAAACCATAATAGAAAACCAATAACAAAAAGCATTTTTGTGCCAGCTAGACATTTTAAAATGTCATTTTGGCAAAATATGGCTCTGGGAATCCTTCATTATGCGGCATGTTTTATTTAGCATTGCTTCCTCCTGACCATCTGAGCTCCTGTGCTGTAACTCACTCTTCTGCTGCTCTGATTTCCTTCCAGGAACTTGTAGTTCAAGTGAACAGGAGACTGAGTGAGTAACAATGTGTGTATGGTTATCAGGAGGTCAGATTATCATGTATTAATAACAATAACCACAGTACCAGGAACAGGTAAGTTACCTAAAAAGGCCTGAAAGTTATAAAAACTGCAATGCTGGTGGTGATCTGCTGTTGATTTTAAAGATTAAATACTGAGGTGGACTCTGTGATGAGTATTTTCTATTTTGTAGAGTTGATTGACTGAAAATGTAGGTTTTTAGTTGTCACCATTAAGTTTTTTGAATAGTTTAAATGAAAATACTTGTAACATCCTGTGTTTCTTCAGAATGCCTTCAAAAGGGATTTTAGTATGTCGATTTAAAAAGGAGGTGTCATTTCTTAGAGCTTATTCTTTAAACGTACAAACGATGAAATGATATCAGGTGGAACTTGCCTCTCGGCAGTCCCCTGTCTGAACGTGCACTGCTTACCTGTTCACCTGGCAGTCCCGGAGACCCAGAGTATCCCTTTGGACCCTGGAGGTCAGAGAAACCACGACTTATGCAAAGAACAAAGCTGATCTCCTCTCTTTATGACTCTAATAGCAGGAGAGTGCGGCTGGGATTCTCACAGGAGCCTTGAAAAACGTTTCGGGGCCACCGGACCCTGCACTCGGAACCAAGCTTGGCTCTCACCTGTATGTGTGTGCATGTCTCAAAGGAGGGCATGATGGGATATGCGAGAACCAAAGAATTCTTATATATCTGTACTCATACTTGTACAAATGGCAATAAAAAGCATC